AAAAAAAAAAAACAAAAAAAAAAAAAAAAAAAAAAATGCAATTTAAATATTAAATAAAAAATTTTTCAAAAATAAATAAAAAAAAAAAAAAAGTTTAATAAAAAAGTGAATATTTTAGAGATGTTCAGAATTTATAAAAAAAATAAATATATATATATGAAAATGTAAAAAATTAATAGAATATAAAAAAGGAAAAAAGAAAAAAAAAGTTAAAAGAATAGAAAAATATATAAAAAATACAATTCTAAATATTTTTAAAAAAGTTTAATCCAACATATATTATTATTTATTAGTAGGTTCATATAATGGTATTTCATTATATAGAAACGGATCTTCTATACTGTGTGGCATATCAATGACATTCTTATATTTTTTATTTTTCTTATAAATAAAAGTTGGATAATATAAAAAAATTTTATTTTTAAATTTGTTGAATGATCTTCCCTTAGCATCTGATATTTTTATAACTTTATTTTTATATCCTCCAATGGGGCCTTTAATAAATAGTAAGTTTTTTAAACTATTAATTCTAAACAATTTGTTATTACTGCATTTAACTAAATTTTTATCTCCTATATGAGTATTCATTTTCTTATTTCGAAAAACAATGTTAATAGTTTTACCCATTGAAACACTACCTAAACTTCTGTGAGCTTTGCTCTCAGTACCGTGTGATTTATTTTTGCCACTAAAATTCCATCTCTTCATAGCTCCACAGAATCCTTTATTTTTTATACTGGAACTAATAAAAAGATTTTGTCCAGGAGAAAAATGTCTAGCAGAAAATCTATGTTGAACTGGTAGAAAACAATCACTAGTACATTTAAATTCTTTTATTTTATGAATAAAACCTAATTTTCTTTTAATATAATTACCAATATTATTTTTACTTTGTTTTATTACATTCATATTACCTATACCTATTTCTAATGCTTCATAACCATTTCTACTTATATTTTTTTGATTCAATACAAAACAATTATTTATTTTAACAACAGTTACTGCATGTTTTACTCCCCACACATCCCAAATGCTCATACATCCAACTTTATATCCTAAAAGACCTGTTCTTCTGCTATTCCATAATGGATATACTTTTTCTATTTGATCATCTTCCTTTTTTTCTTCATATTCTATTTCCTCTTCGTTTTCTATTTTGTAATTATATTTTTCATTTAATAATTGTAATCTTCTTATCCATTTTGATGAATAAAATGTCCTCTTCTCTTTTATTATAAAAAATAAAGAAAAAATAAAATCTTTTTTTCTTAAGTAATTATTCATAATGAAGCAACACAAAAAAAAAAAAAAAATATACGTGAAAATTTTTTACATCATGTAAGTGCTATATATAATATATTTTCTTTTAAAAAAATCAATTTTATAATTTTTTTTTTTTTTTTATAATTTATCTATAGAAAATTATTTATCTCTTCATTAAAAATCACATAATATTTTCATTAAATTTTAATGTATTATTATAAGGAATATATTAATTTTAACTATAATCTATACAATTAGTATCCTCTTTATTTGTTTTACATATTTATTTATTTTTTTTTTTTTTAAATTTTTATCTTCTATATATTCACATTGTTTTATAGAACAATTATATCAATTAAACATACATATATTTTGTGAAAAGTATATATAATATTTAAAAAATAGCTTAAATATTTTTGAAACTTCATACAAATTCAAAAAAAAAAAAAATTAAATTAAATTTTTATATTTTAAAAATATGATTTAAAAAATTACACAAATAATATTTTCAATTTCAAAAGTAGAGTAATGTATTTTGTTTTATTTCTTTCTAAATTCAATTAATATTTAACAAAAAAAAAAAAAAAATTTATTCACAATAGGGAATAAAAAAGAATATGTATATATTAAAAAAAAAAATTATGAAATATTAATATTTAGAAAAAAAAAAAAAAAAAAATAATATTAATATAAAAACTATTTTTTTTGATAAATGGAGTTATTTATTTCCTGAAATTTCACTATATCATTTTTATATATATCAGCTGCTACTTGATTAAAAGGGTCATCTGTTGAAGGTTCCTTAAAAAAATAATATTATAAAAGTTTTATTTATATATATATATATATGTGAATAAAAATAAAATTGTTTTTATTAAAATATTATATCATTATATCATTATACATTTAATAAAAGTAATAAACCCAATATTAACATTTGTAAATTAATAATAGGATTCCAATCTAGTTTTAAAACATTTAAACATACATTTCCTTTTTCATCAATATTTGGATGGAATATCTAAAAGTTTCTCAAGAATATAAGTATATGTAATTACAAATTTTTTTATACTTTTATAGTTTTTTATTTTTATTTGTTTATATATATATATATATATATATGTAATTACTTTGTTTAGACATATAATTTTTGGTGGATTAATAGGATAGCTATCCTTAAATTTTACCAGAAATTTAAAATTTTTGTTTTTAAAATAACCTTCTTTAGGTGTAATTGAAATACCAACTTCTCTTAAATTATTCTCATCAATTAAAAATAATTCTACACCTTCCATTTCATCTAAATCCATTATTTCTTTCGTTAAAAAAAAAAAAAAAAAAAAAAAGATCATATAATTTTTTAGCATTATTTATAGAGAATTTATATGAATTAATATTATGGTAAATTTTCATTTGTACATTAATATTTCTTTTTTTATTAGTGTAATATAATTATGTATAAGATTGCAATTATTTCATATATATTTATATATGAATTTTATATACATAGAACCACTTATATAAATTTTACTACTGTTTTTTTTTTAAGAATGTTCTAACTTTAAAAATTATTATTATAAAGTTATACCTTTTTGAAGTATTAATTCAAATGGTTTTAATTTTTTTATACTTTCATTATTCATTCTGTAGTCAAGAGTTTTTCAAAAAAAAAATTTTAGTTAATTAAAATATAAAATTCAAATAATTAAATTTTATAGAAAAAAAAATATATTTAAATCTGTATTTTTTACTCGGAATTAGATGTTGCTTAAATTTTTTTCTTTTTTTTGATTTAATAAAATAAATTACCTGTTATTCTAAAAATGTAGAAGATATTTTAAAAATAATTTTTTTTTCATAAACGTATATATTAATAAAAAAAAAAAAAAAAATTAGATTATGTTAAATCTAAATAAATTATTTGTGCACTTAAAATTATTACAAATAAAACATAAGATATATATATATATATATTCATAAAAATAAGTTTGAAATTTGAATTAAGTTTTTATTGTTATTTTTATTTTTTTTTTTTTTTTTGTTCTTAATTTTCTTTATTTAATATTTATTAAAAATAAATAATATGAAAAAAAAAAAAAATTATATATTTCTTTCCAATTTATTAAAGGAGAATATAAAAAGAAAAAATATAAAAAATTTCGTAACATTAAAGAGAAATTATAATCAAAACAATTTTGAAATATTAAAGTATCACGATAATATATGCAATATAAACATATTATTTCATGAAAATTTTAAAATTTTAAAAGATCTAGATATTTTACTAAAAACAAGAAGAAGTACATTTAAAAATATTAACAGGTGTAATATAAAATATTTTTTTTTATATTTAAAATTTGATAAAAAATGTAAAGATCATTTTTTTGATAAAACATCACCAACCAATGGAATACACATTCAAATATTGACAAAATTGAATTACCTACTTATTTTAAAGAATATAATAAAAAATGATACTACTCTAAATAGACATATTAAATATATTTACTTAAATTATATTTTTCCAAATAAAAAATATAATACAGTAGTAACTTTTAATGAAGATTTATTAACAAGTAATATTTCTATGCATAAACATTTTAATTATTCTAAAAATGATAATAATAATAATAATAATATTGAAGTGACCTTATCTAGTAATTTCAATAATGATATATTAGGAATTGTTGATATAGAAGAAAATCGCATAGAAAAAGCAAATATTGAAAATAACTGCATTATTAATACACATATATTTGACAGTGGTAATATAAGACATAATAATGATTTAAAAGATTTTAAATTGGAAAATTTTTGTAAATTACTTAAGAATGAATATAAGATAGTAATATATAGTAACATAAATAATAAACACATAAAACATATATATTTAGATGAATTAGATAATAATATAGATACTCAAATTAATTACATATATATGTTTGATAATAAACTTTTTGATAAAAACTTATTATTACAGATATATACGTTTTATGAACATTTTATGGAATATATAAAAAGAAAAAATGAATTTTTATTTTTTCTAGATAGAATAAGCGAAAAAATATTACATAAAATGAATTTAATAGATTTAGTTTACATTTTTCACATTCATATAAAACAAAACTACTACAATCATCTATTTTTATTTATTTTAATTAATAAATTGGAAAATTACTTATATACAATAATAAATATAAATAATATAGAAAAAAAACAAATTTACAATAATATAAAATACAATCAAAAATCATTAATTGTGTTTTTTCATTCATTAACGAATTATTATATTTATTTAAATAGTGTTGAAAATAATAGAAACAAAGATAAGTTAATAAGGATAAAGGATATGATATATAATAAATTTTCTTTATACTTTTTAAATTACTTGGTGAATAATTATAAATTATTTAAAACTCTTGATATTATATTATTTTATTCGTCTTATTTAAAATTGGATATAAAAAGTAATACACTTAAAACTATATTATTTGATTATATAAATTACAAAAATTATCTTTTAATTCAGAATGATAATAATAATATTAGTAGTAGTAATAATAATATTAGTAGTAGTAATAATAATAATAATATTAGTAGTAATAATAATAATAATAATAATAATAATAATAATAATACTAATATTACTAATATACAGGTGTATTCTTCTTTTTTGAATATTTTTTCAAAATTTTTTACACAATTTAATTTTGATAATAAGGAATATAAAAAAATAATAAAAATATTATTAATTTTATTTGAAAATTATTTTATTATTATAGAAAAATTGTTTATTAAAAAATATTATGTTAATATAGAGCATAATGAAATTGAAAAAAATAATACTTTTAATTATAATGACAAATTAGACGAAAAAGACAAAAAAAACTTAAATAAAGAAAATAATTTAAATAAAGAAAATAATTTAAATAAAGAAAATCTCCATTTAAATTTAGAATACAATTTTAATGAAAGTAATATTTCTAATGTACAATTAGATAAAAGTATAAATTATTTTACCTTCATTAATGTATTAAAAAAAACTCAAATAAATGAAAGTCCATTTACATATGAAAATGATAAATATCGTAATATATATGATTTAGATAATATTAATAATAATATAAAGTATATTGTTAATTCTTTAAATTCCATATATAAAATAATGAACCATTTGATTGAAACTTTTAACTTAAATGAATTTAGCAACCAATTTAACAAAATACACTTATATAATTTTGTTAACAAAGTTATATACAATAAATATATAAATTATAATATGGATTATTTAAAAAAAATAAGCAAATATTTATATATTAATTTATATTCTTCTACAGATATAAATATTAATCGTTTATTTATTGGAAATTATATTCTTAACTTCATTTTATGTGATTTCGTAAATTCATTTGTAAACAATATTATACTAAAATTAAGTTTAAATTATGATGACCTAATAATAAAAAAGCTTAATGAAAATTTTTTTTTTTCTCAAATTGTATCCAATTCATTGGGAGCAATTCAAAATTTAAAAATTTTAAGGTATGACATATTTTTTAATATTTCATATTTAATTAAAAAAAATGTATTTGATTTTGATTTAATTCATTTAGCAAATATTATACATTCATATGCATCCTTAAAAATAAGAGATATAGAGTTAATTGAGTTTCTTTTAAATAAATTAATAGAGAAAATAGAATTCGAAAAACATATTAATGATCAAAGTCTAAGTAATATTACTATTTCATTATTAAAATTAGATTATTATAATGAAAAATTCAATGAAATTATTTTTAATAATTATAAAAACATAAAATCGTTGCAATCACTGATAAATATTACATTTTATATTTGTTATTATAATATGATATACAAATTTATGAGTAAAAATTATTTGAATTATTTTTTTGAAAATATAAATATACATAATATAAATGACTTAAATGTAGAAAGTAAGACACAGTTAAAATTAATATCAATTTTAGTACTATATATGCATTACAATTATTGTATAAAAAATATAAGGAACTTATTTAAGATATATATGGATAATATACAAAAATTAAAAATGAAAATATTGGAAAAAGAGCTTATTAAACCATCAGATATGGCTTTTTTTAAATATACTTTTAAAAAAGTTTATAATTTTATTTATGCATTTAAAAAGAAAAACATAGTCAAGAACTTTAGCACTTTAAATAAATCGTATTATAAAAAAAATATGTCTTTCAACAAATATATTAGAACTCTTAATAATAATATATTATATAATAAATTTTTAAAGAAAAACCAAAAAATAACACCATTTTATAAATATGCAAATGATACATATATATTTAATAATAATACTACGAATAATACAAATAGTAATTATTTTATTAATAGGGATATGAATAATAATTGTAATTTAGAAAAACAAAAAATGAAAAATTTTAATTTTACAAATTTAAATGATTCTCTAAATTTATTTGATGTATTTAGTTATAAGTTTATAAATAATGACAATAATAAGAATATTCATTTAATAAATGAGGAAAATTATTTATATCTTAATTTTATTGCAGTTTTTCCATTTACGGGAAAACCTATATATTCTACTTCTAATTTACATAATGAAGTTTATGAAGTTATAACATCATTAAGTTTAAATAGGAAAATAATAAAAGAATTATCACACTATCCATATTATGTTGATATAGTTCTCATATAACTTTTAATATTTTTATAAATGAATTCTATTCATGCTTTTTTTTTTTTTTTTTTTTTTTTTTTTTTTTCTCATTTTATAATTTTAAGGATAATCTTTAATAAATTTTTTTATGTAAACCTTTTTAAGAATAAATAATTAATTAATTTTATTGTCTATTCTTTTAATTAGACCAAACTATAGTTTAAGTGATTCACTAAATAATATAAAATAAATAAGAAAAACGAAACAATTTTTTTTTATTTATTTCTTTTTTTAAATAGCTTAAAACAAAAAAAAAATTGTACATTTGCAAAAATCTTATTCTATATATTCAATGTTTTTTTTTTTTTTTTTTTTTGAATTTCCTTGTATACATTTTGTTAATATAAATTCTTTATATTTTAAATAATATAAAAATTCTTTTTTTTCTTAATAATTAAAAAAAAAAAAAAAAAAAAAAAAAACAAATATAAAAAATATTATGCAAAATTAACATCTCTAATAAATATTTAACAAAAAAAAAAAAAAAAAAATATTTAATAATTATTGTGATATATTTATATATTATTTTTTACTTTTGTTACATTTTTTTTTTTTTTCTTTGTTATTGTTACAAATTTTTTATTTTTTATTATAATATTATGATTTATTAATTTGTTGATTTATTTTATCAATGGTATTATTATCATTTTCATTTTTATTAGAATTAATATCCATACTATTTTTTACATCTTCTACATATTTTTTATTTAATGAAGGATTATTTTCATTATTATTAGGAATATTAAATAAAATAGAATTGGCTGACTTATTTTGATATTCTAATGTTAGATATTGATGCAATAATCTTAAATTTTCACTTTCACACCAAAATTGTCTTAACATAATTAAATTGATCATATCTTTTTCTAATCTACTATATGCATAAAAGTGAAATTGATCATCTGGATTATTACTACATATATGACACATAACCAAATCTTTTTTTAAATCACTTGTTTCGTTGCTTGTTTGAATATCTACATTTTTTTTAAATAAAAATAGAAGTTTGTTTAATATAACCTTTCTTTTTTCATATATTAACTGAACATATTTATCTAACTCTTCTAAACTCATAGTGTTAATGTCTTCATTAATATATTTTTTTATAACAGAATCTTTGTCTGCTTTGTATTTTGATAGCAAAATATTGTTTAATATATTTTGTGTATCTTCATATACGTTTGTAATATTTAAAGAATTTAAACAATTATTTAACATATTATTAATATTATTCTGAAATTGATTTAAATATTCATTGTTAGAAAAATTATTAATTTTATTTATGTTTTCATCATTATTTTTATCCATGTTTACGTTATTCATAAATTTTCCTTTTTCTTTTTCAATGCAATCATTTGTGCTTGGATTAAATACAGTGTTATAACCATAATTCTGATCAAAATTTAAATAATGATTTAAGATATTATTATTATCTATACATGTATTATTATTTATTATATTATTATTATTATTATTATTATTATTATTATTATTATTATTATTATTATTATTATTATTATTAAGATTGTAATTCATATTATATAAGGCATTGTTATATGCATAAGATTTAGAATTTATTGAATTAGTGTTCGATAAATTATTATTTAATTCATTATTGTTTTTTTCAAAATTAATATGATTTTCTTCATCATTATTATTAAAAATATTAGTTGTTTTTTCTGATATATTCTTTATATCATCATATAAATTTTTATTTAGTAAATTATAATCATAATTCATAACATTATTTATGTAAGTATCATTGTTATTTAAATACTGATTATTCAAAGAATTATTATTTGTGTTGAAAAAATTTTGATTATTATAAGTATTTAATTGATTACCATTATCTGCGTTATGAGAAATGGCATCAAAAAATATATTATCACTATTTTTATTATTTTCTTTTTCATTTATATTTCTTATATGCATGGATGAATGTGTGTTGTTATTATTGCTAATAGCTGTAGCTTTTTCAGTAATTGTATTATGAAAGTTATTCATATTATTTAATTTATTCTTTGAATTATCAGGATTATTGTTTTTTGAAAATGCCTTTTCTTTAAGTTGTTCATATTTAAAATTATGTAACTTATTTCCTGCACTATGTCTAACATTTATTTCATTTTTCATTTTGCTATTAGTAGTGTCACAACTACTTCTCGTTTTTATTTTATCGGATCTTTCATTTTTACAATTTAAAAATATATTTTTGTCATTATTATTAAGGTTACAATTCATTTCATCTATTGAAGAAAAATCAGATGTATCAGTAAAAGTATAATTCTGTTGTGCAATATTATGTTTTTTTGCTGTATTATCATAATATAAATTACTGTCATAATTTAAAAGGCTTTTTTTTTTCTTTTTTTTTATTTTATCCAAATCATTAATAGAACTAAACTTTCCATGAATAGAAAAATCTTTATTTTTGTCAATATTTTTAACTTTTAAAGTACTATTTTTTGCCTTTGTATCATTTAATTTAATACTAATTTTATTATTTTGTATAGAATTATTTGACTTAACTGTAACATTTTCTAAATTTACATTATTAAATTCAGTACTCTTAGAATCTAATATGCTTATTTTTTCATTATTACCATCTTCATCTTCATTATTGGTAGTTTTATTTTTGAAGTTTTTTACCCTTGATGAATATCGTAAAGTATTTAAAGTTTGTTCACAACAACTAATGGTTGGTGATATATTAGCAATCATAATGCTTTTAGATTTTCCTACAAAAATATCTCTTAAAACTTTTGTTAATTCGGAATCTCTGAATGGGATATGATTTTTATCTGAGTCCATTGCTCTTATGCATTCTTTTAATGCTAATAAGGATCTGTTAATATTTGCCCCATCCGTTTGTGTTTGCTTATTTTGTGAAACTGTATCTGCACCTCTTTCACTTCCTGCTAGATCTATAAAAGCAATTTTTCCTAATGAAATATTTTTATTTATATCTTTTAAATCAATATTTAATATTGCATGAGATCTTGATGATTCATCATTCTGAGAATTTACTCCAATTTTTCTTAATAATACCCCATCGATCATTTTTAAAATTAATTCATCTTTTGTTAATACTCTTAAAACTTTCAAATCTTTTACAACAACTTCTTTTTTTCCATTTTCCAAAGCGGCAACCATTTTTCTTTTTTGTAATAAATCATATAACTTACCGCAGTATATTTCATAAAATGATATAAATATACCTTTACTATTATCAGTGTCATATATTTTTAAAAAATTAAAAATATCTTCTGCTGCATATTGAAATATCCCTGGTGTGTCACTTTGACCATATGGTTGAGATCCCAGCATTGTGTAAGTTTTTCCACTACCTGTTTGACCATATGCAAAACATGAACATACACAATTATTTTCAAAAATGTCAACTAATAATGGTTTTATAGTATTTATATAAACCGTATAATTATCAACATTATCATTAAATACTTTATCAACTATGAATTCATGTCTTTCAATATATTTGGTCATATCAACCTTATATCGAGGTTCATCTATATATATAGTACAATTATCTTTAACAGTAATTATATCATTATCTTTTTTTCTTTTTTCTAATTCACTTATTGGTCTTTTTCTTACAACAACTTTTATTTTACTATTTACATTTTTAGCTCGATTTTTCAATTTATTTCCAAAATTCACACTTTTCTGAGGATAAGATTCGTTCTACATATAAAATAAAAATTTAATTTATTATTATATATATTTATGTATATTCATATATATATTTATATATATATATATATTTATGTAAATTCATATATATATTTATATAAATATATTTATGTAAATTCATATATATCTTTATATATATATTTATATATCTACCTACTCTTTAAGATAATACATATATTTATTAATCATTATTAGTACTCATAAATTTTTTTTTTTTTTAATTTTTACATATTTTTATACTTTATAATTTTATTTTTTTAATGTATTACTTTATTTTTAATAAAAGACTGTCTTTTCTGTTGCATCGTCTTTTTAAGCATGTTATATTATTTTATAAATCTCAAAAAAAATTTACTTTTATTTTATCATCAAATATGATATAATAAAAAATACATAAGCATAATTATTTTGTGATGATATATAATATTAAAAAATATAATATTTGTTTGGCATATATAATTCTTATAATTAAATAAGCAACACATATTTTAATTCTTTCAATTAACTTCAAGTATATATATTTATAAAGAAATATTTTATTGTATATATAAACAAGTAACAAAAAAAAAAAAAATATATTGTCATACTTTAAGAATGTTTTTATATATAATTAAAAAAAAAAAATAAAATAAATAAATACATATATATATATATATGTATAATTTTTTCTATATTTCTCTATATTCTTTTATTCATATGTTTTTTCGGGTGTTATGATAATTTTTGTTATTTGTTCTTTAGAATTAAATGTAATTAATTATAATAATAACTTTCCTTATACTGGAAATTAATATAAAAAAAATGTATTTGATTTAACACTTTATAATTAAACTTATTTCTTTCTTTTTCCTTTTTCCTTTTTCCTTTTTTTTTTTTTTTTTTTTTTCTTTTTGCACACTTAAAAGTATTTCAGAAAAACAAGTTTTTCTAATGAGTAAGTAATTATATTTTCTTAAAAATTAAAAATATTTCCTCATAAATTATAGCATTTTCAAAAATTATGTAAATATAAATATATATATGTATGTATGTATGTATTTATATTTGTGTATTATAAAATTTTATGCATGGCCGTAACTATTTAATTTAATTCTGTATTTCTTATTTTTTTTTTTTTCTAAACTGCTATTAAAAAGAAAAACTAAAAAAAAAAAAATTAAATAATTTCTTAAAAAAAAACTTCAAATATAAACATCAAAAAAGAAAATATTTTGATATCTGAAACACTCAAAAAAAAAAAATTTATTATATATATATATATATATATGTATATTATACAAATATTTTATTCTTATTTAATTAAAAAAATATTAAAAAGGTTGATAAAAGATTATTTTAAATTTATCAAGAATTTTTTTTTTCTGAACGACAAATTTTTAGGTCTCCCTTTTTATATATTTAGACTTATTAATAGATATAGACATACTTTAAAAATTAAAAGATGAAAATTTTTTTTAAATAATTTTTAATTTATTGTGAATTTTTTTATATTTTCAAAAAAAAAAAAAAATATTTCTTCTATACATTTAAATATTTTTTAAATTTTTCTGTAATGTAAAAAAAATAAACACATATAATTAAACTTATATGAATTAATCTTAAGCTTCCTTTGAAAAACAGAAGACAAATTTTTTTCTAGTAATTTATAAATAGTTTTTTATTTGTGTTTATGTATTTTTTTTTTTTTTTTGTCAATTTCTAAAATGTTTTCAAGTTTTTTACTTATTTTTCTTTATGATAATAATTGCACATAAATTGTGTATGTACATGCGTTATTTTTTATTTTTGATTTTTTTTTTTTTTTTTTTAGGAATTAATATGAATTTGGAATCATGTAATAAAATAAATTATTTAGACATTAATGATTATAAGAAATCTATTATAAATGTAGACTTAAAACATTATTTTAAAAATTATGGATATGAAAATTGTAAAGAATTAAAAGAAATTATTAGAAAGAATGCTAAAAAAATTAGAGAAATTATTTTTAGAAATTCATTAATTAAGAAAAATGATACTTGTGATAATACCAAATGTACAATAAAAAATAACATTTACAAAAATAAAGAAATAATAAATACTAATAATGAAAAAAATGAAATATTTAAAAATAAAATAATTTCAAAAAAAAAAAGCATATTATATAAGGATTATTTATATACTTTATTAATAAGGAATCTATATATTTTGTTTAGTTCATTAAATTTAGAAAAAAAAAAAGAAAAAAAGTTTGATTTTACTAAAGTATATACATATGAGTATAATTATAAAGAACTTACATTGAATAAAGTTATTGATCATCTAAAAAATTATGGGATAATTGATGTAAAATTAACAGATATTAAGAACTTCAAATTTTTTACTTATTGTAATAAGTTAAAAACAAATTTCAACGATAAAGAATCTAATTTTAATATATGTATATATATACCTACAAAAAAGGAAGTTGATATATTATTTATTATTGAGGCATTATATGATTATTTTTATTTTAATTTATATGTTCCTATAACTACAAAAAATAATGATTTAATATTTTTTCCATTTAATATAATTAATAATGTATTAGTGAAACATAATTTTAATATATTTGTTCCTTATCTATATATATACTTAAATACCCATAACAAAATTTCTTTTAATTTAAATAATTTAAACATAATAACAAATAAATTATTTAATTTTACATACAAAGAAAATGATACTATTTTTATCATTCCTCTAATTGCATATAATAATTATGGTTGTAGAATTGGTAGTGGAAAGGGATATTATGATAAAACATTAAAAAAAAATAAAAATATCACAAATTTACATAAAAAAGATATAAAAAATGAAATAAAAATTAGCGTTTCTTTTGAAGTTTTTCTATATGATATAGATTTTTATGAAACTACTGATATTATTTTGGATTATATAATAAATGAAAAAAACATTTATCACTTTCTATTTTGATTTTTTCTCTTTTTTTTTAAATACTTCTTTATTTCTTCATTATCCATTAAAATACTAATAAAAAAAAAAAAAAATACATATGTAAAAAATAAATTTTAAAAAAAAAAAAAAAAAATTTAAAATAATAAATAAATAATAAAAAGGTATGTAATTTTTAATTAAACTATTATAAGAACATAAGGAAAATATAAAGCAGCATGAACTTTTATTTATAAAGCGAATTTACCTTTCTTCAGATATGTCACATTTTAAGTTATTATTTTGTGAATCAAATTCTAGTAAATCTGTGAGAATAAATTAATTCAAGTAAAAAGTAAAATAAAATATAAAAAATTGCATAAAAATATATTAAGAAATAATAATAAAATATTAATATTTAAAACATTAAATATTCAAACTATCGCAAAGAAAATACCTGATTCATTAAAAACAAAATTATCATTAGAATTCTACAAAAAAAAGATAAATATATTATAAAAATATAAACGTATATATATATATATATATTAGATTAGACATAATGATAAAAAATAAAATAGAAAAAAAAAAAAAAAGAGTAAACTCTAAATCATAAACAATTACTTCTTTTATATGTGAAGATATTTCTTTTAATATTCTTTCTTTATTTTCTAAATCCTCTTCTAATTTTTTCGCTTCTTTAAAAAATAAAATTAGTATTAAATATAAAAATTATTTTTATAACAAAAATAACAAATATATATATTTAAATCAATTCAAACCTTTATTGTCTTCGAACTCATTTATTATAATTCTTTCATCCTTAAAACTTCCAACACTAACAATTAATAAAAAAAAAAAAATTATATATATATATAATAAAAAAATAATTATTAGACAAAATCAAAGTTAATAAAATAAACATTAGTAATATAAAAATTAACAAAAAAAAAAATAAAAAATAACAAACTTATATAAATAATAATTAACTACATAATGGTTATCTAAATAATAAAAAATATAAAATAAAATATATATTTTTTACTCATTTTTGTTAGAATATGATAGTAGTAAATTAAATATTGATAAATTCAAATTAAATGAATAAAATATTGATATAATTGTTAAAAGTTGATTAGAAGAATATTTATGCTTTAATTTATAAATATTTCTTAATAATGCTTCAATAAAAGGCAAATCATAATATTTGGAACAATTTAATGAATAAACTACACTATATAAATCTCTATAAGTACAATTTATAAATTCATTTGATAAAATATGATTTAACTTTTCAATATAAATTTTCTTAGAAAAAAAAAGAAGTTTAGAAATACTTATATATAATAAAACTTTATCCTTTTTACTTAATTTTTTACAATCATCAACAAATAATACATTTAAACAATTTTTTAAAATATTATTTTCTACATTTTCATCAATCCTAATTAAATGAAATTGTATAGATAATAAATGTATTAAATGAACTATATATGATGGAGATAAATAAAAAAAAAGCATTTTATTACTTTTACTAATATAAATAATTACTTCTTGAAAATAATGAAATAGTGTTCTACAAAAAATGTTAAAATGTAAACATTGAAACATATAATTACTAATAATATAAAATTTCCCCTGTAAATTATCATTTGCAAATTTATGTAGAACATTTTTTTTTAATTTATTTTGACACTTTTTAAGTATAGAAATTAAAGAATTATTAACAAAATATATTAAATAAATTATATCAGAATTTATACCATGTAATTTACTTATGTCATTATTCTCTTCTCCTTCATCTAGACCATTATTTGAAAATTTATTCTTTTCCTTTTTAAAAATAAAATCATTTATATTGTAATAATGGTAAAATTCTTTATCGTTATATAATAGATCTTTTTTTAATGTGGTGATACATTTATCATTAAAAACACCGTTACATATATTTGAAAAATTAGAAATTTCAAAATCATATTCATTCCTATTTAGCATTCTGATTTTATTGATATATTCAATATCGTATTCTATATCAAAACTTTTTTCTTTTTTTAATTTTGATATATGTATTATGGAGGTTAGGAGTTCAACATAATTGAATATGTTAAATACTGACATACGTTTTTTAATTTTATTTCTTATATATTTTAACATATATAAAACAAAATAATATAAAATATTTGTTTTAATTATAGTTTTACTATTTAAATATGATAAATTAAAAAAGTATGCTGAAATATTATTTATACATTTTTTATTTATTTTATTTTTAAAAAAAAATAATATATCATCAATTATTTCTTTGTCATCTAAATAATTTTTTCTGTTTTTTAAAATCGTACAAAAATAATTAAAAATAATTTTTTCATCCATGTGTTTAATATTTATATCTTTAATCAAATTGATTTTTTCAGCATATTTTTTAATATTTAAACAACTTAAATAAATTAATTTTTCTTTTACATTTAAAGTGCTTTCTCTATTTATAATTTTTTCAGCTATACTAGAAGATAAATTATTTAATTCACATCTGTCATCAAATCCTTTTTTTTCATGAATTTTACATAATGCATATAGCAACAACTTTTTATCTCTCTCAATAAATTTTAATAAATTTTTACTTGTGATATTTTCTTTGCTTAAATGTAAGTTAATTTTCTCTATTTTTTCATCATTTCTTATTCTGTTATTTTTTTTTAAATGTCTTGATACTTTTTTTATATTTAAAATTTTACGTTTATTTGCGATATTTTCATTTCTAAACCTATTAAAGTAGTAATTTTTTCTATAACAGTTGTAGTTACATTTTGAAAAAATTTTTGAATTATGAAAAATGTTCATATCTTTAAAATATATAACACTAAATATTAGTACATTTTAAATAATTCTTTTGTAGTTTTTTTTTTTTTTTTTTTTTTTTTACTGTAGCTTTATCAAATATTAATAGTAAGCAAAAAAAAAAGAAAATGAAACTTTTATCATTTATATACAGTTATTTCAAATGTTATCTTTGTAAAAGAAAAAATAAACTGTTATTTTTTTATTCAATAATTCTTCAAGGAATATTAAAAGATCTTTGTTAATAACATTAAAAATTTCGTAAGTGTATTAATCACCTTATTACAAAGTATTAAAATCTCATATGGATCCTATTTTTTCTCTTTTTTTTTTTTTTTTTTTTTTTTTTTTTTTTCATCTATAAATAAATTAGAAAAATGATTTACTTAAAGCAATTCAAAAAAAAAAAAAAAAAAAAAAAACTTTTTAATTTATATAACTATTGTGAATTTCAGAATATTTTTTGTTATAAACTTTTATGAAGAATATTTTCATGTGTCAAAATTTCCTAATTTTTTTAAAATAATTTATTTAATCTTTATACATTTTTTTTTTTTTTTTTTTTTCTTTTCGATATTTAAATAATACAATGATTTTTTCAATTTATAATTTCTCCACCTTTTTTAAGATTTGTATTTTTCAATTGAGATTTTTTTATATTATATAAACATTTTAATTTATATATTTTTTTAAATATAAATTCCTGCATAAATATTCTTTATTTTTTTGTGTTTATTAATTAGAAAAAAAATAATAAAATAAATTTTATATTTTTAATATTTATAAAGAAAATAGTAAGTTTTCTTTTAATATTCGAATACGATATGGAACCAGAAATTAACAATTTTTGTTAATAAGAAAAAATAAAACAAATAAAAAAAAAAAATAAATAAATAATAAATAAATAAATAAAAAAAGATTATTATAATATTTATTAAAAAAAAATGCCTCCAAAAAAAGATAACAAAAAAATAGAAAAAGAGAAACAAAAAATAGTAGAGGATAAAACGTTCGGACTAAAAAATAAAAATAAAAGTAAAAGTGTTCAAAGGTATTAAGTAAAAGCATTAATATATATTTTTATTTTTATATATGGATGTCTTCTACAAATACTTATACAAATGTATATTTGAAATTATACATTTTTAGATATATAAAAGGAGTTCAACAACAAGTGTTTCAAACAAAAAAAAAAAGTTGTGATGATAAAAGAAAAGAAGAAAAGGAAAAAGAAAAACTAAATCAACAAAAGCTATTATTAAATTCAATTTATCAAAGTAACAAACACAATACTCATATTATATATTTTTATTAATAAATAATAACATATTTTTATTTTTCCTTTTTTTATTTTGAAGAAACTGAAAAAGTTAAAAAAATAAATGAATCATCAACATATGATCCAAAAAAATCTAAAGAAGCACAGAAAATTGATATATATACAGATATTAGAGATGCTAAAAATGAAAAAGAAGATGACACAATAGACAAGTGGGATATTCATAAGTTAACAGAAGTTATAAATATAAGACATAAAAATATTAATAAAACTGATATAATATGTAAATATTTTTTAAGTGCTGTTGAAAACAAGGTAAAATTAAAAATTAAACAAAAAAGGAAAAAAAAAAAAAATGTATATACTTAAATTGAAATAATTTATTATTATATAATATTTTAGCAATATGGTTGGTTTTGGGTATGTCCTAATGGAGGAGATAATTGCAAGTATAAACACTGTCTACCTCAAGGTTTAATAGAGAAAAAAAAAAAAAAAAAAAAAAAAGAAATTAGTAAAAGAAGAAATATATTATAAATGAATAGTTAATATTTTCGAATATAATTACTCATAATTTCTTTTATAAAATTGTACAACATCATAATTTTGCTATTATTGGTTATTTTTGATTCTTTTTGCCTTAATTTGTTTAGGATACGTATTAAAGAAACAAGAAACACCTGAAAATGAAAAAGAGGAAAAACCCTTAGAAGATATCATCGAGGAGGAGGTATTAATATAATTTTAGTGAATAATATATGTTAATGTATATTTGTTTTACTCATAAATCTTATATTATTTTTATTTTATTTTTATTTTTTTTTAGAGAATGAAATATATAAATAATGGTACACCCGTTACATTGGAATTATTTAAAAAATGGAAAACAGAAAGAGAAGAAAAGAAAAAATTAAAAAAAGAAGAGCAAAAAGAAAAAGATAAATCAGAAAAAAAAAATAAAAATACCGTTTTATCTGGAAAAGAACTATTTTCTTATGATCCAACGTAATATTCATTTTTTTTTTTTTGAACAGAGAATTTTCTTTTATACTATATCAAAATATATATATTTAAATAAAATACTGTGTTGTGTTCAAACTAATTATTACACATTTTATTTTTTTAGATTATTTGTTGATGATGATAATGCCGCAAATACCAATGAATATGATGATCTATTTTACGATGATGAAGAAGAAAAAAAAGAAAGCATTGAAAAGAAAAATGATGCTAATGGAGAAATTAAAGAAAATAAAAATGGTTAAAATATTTACATATTTTAAAGAATTATATAATATTCATATAGTTATATATATATTTGCATTTATTTTTATATTTTTTTCCATAGATAAAAGAGAAGATGAAGTACCTATAAATAGTGAACTTTTTATTGATGAATTGGTAATAATTTATATTTACGTAAAATAAATGGAAATTCTAATAAATTTTAATAATAAAAATAATTCTTAACTATATATTATTTTATTTTTTTTTTATTTAAAAGTTAAATATATTTACTTAATTTCTATAATATATTGATATTTTCTTTTTTATTTATTTTCTATATTTTAAAACAGGATGACCTAGATGAATTAGATTAAATGAAGATATTAAAGAAAATTTTTTTATCATAAAGTTAAAATTATACAAATGTTGTAATATTATAAGCTAGTTATAATTTGATGCAAAAAAATTAGTTTTTTATTCATTTAAAAACATTAAAAACAAATTTTTATTAAAGTAATTTTTTTTTTTTTTTTTAATTAAATAATGTAAAAAACGTACCTCTTTTATTTCATTTTAAAAAAGTTTGATAATTTAAAAGGGTTTATATCATCCTGTAAAAGTAAATTAAAAAAAAAATATATATATATATAATAAATATGAATGTAAATTTTTATTAATATTAGAGAATTCTTTATATTATAAAAAAGAAAAAAAAAACTTACGTTTTTTTTTTGTTTTTTGTGTTTTTTTTTATCTGAATAATTGGAAGTCGTATCACTACTAAGAGAATGAGAATATCTATCTTTTTTTTTTTTCTTTTTTCTTTTTCTTTTCCTTTTTTTTGATATATCATCATCAGAACTATCTGTGCTATTATCATCACTCTTTTTCTTATATTTTTTTTTATATTCTTTTTTCAATTTTTTAATATACCTTTTTTCTTGTTCTTTTATTTTTTCCTCTCTATTTTTATTGAGCTCTTCTATGTATTTCGCGTTTTCATATTCTTCTAACATTTTATTTCCTTCTTGATTTTTAATTCTATCTTTTAAATCATCCCATGTTGGTCTTGTTTCTCTATTTATTTTGTCTAATAATGTTGGCCTGTTTATTAAAATAAAAATTATATAATTTAAAAGGGTAATCTTGATTATTATAAGAAAAAAAAAAAAAAATTAAAATATAAAATAAATAGCATAATTTAAAATAAAATAAGAATATAAAAAGTTATAGAATAAATATTTTACCCATTATATTTAATTCTTTGTATAGGGGCTATTAGCCCTTGGGGACGAAAACCTCTTTGTTTTGGCATAACTTAATTTTTACAACCAAAAAAAAAAAAAAAAAAATTATGTGTTAAAAATACATGCACATAATATTTTTTATTTTCCTCATATTTTATCTTGGAAATTTCGCACACATTGAAAAAAGCCAAAAAGAAAAAACAAAAAAATAATGGAATATATTAAAAAACAAAGATAATATTATTAATACTTTATAAAATAAAATTATTTATGTGTTTTTATTGCTTTTAATTGAAAATATATGTTTTAAAGGATAAATAGTGTAATATAAAAAACGAATAAATTAATAATAAACAACTATTTTATGGAAATTTCCATGAAATTACTTAAACAAATATATTCGTTATTTATTTATGTTTACCTTAATTTTCCATGCAAAATAGTTTAGTAAAGAAAATAATGGAAAAATAAAAGCATTCACGCGTAATAATATATAAGACCTAATTTATGTGCACACAGACAGGTAAAAAAGAGTTATATAAAATTTAAATGTAAATATTAAGAAAAAAATTCTTCAATAATATAAGTAAAATAATGATTATATTATAAATATTATGGAACTATAGAGATATATCCCAATTTTTCTTTTTTAATGTCATTTCTAAAATTCATAAGTTTATGTATAAAAACACATTAGTATGAGATTACATTTATCTATAAAATAAACATATATCAATATAATAAAAAAAATTTACACATATATTAACACATAAAGGTATACACATATATATGTTTATATGTAGTGTTATTCAGTTAATATGATCTTTGAATATATTTTTTCTCCAAATTTTCTTTTTTATAAAAAGGAATAAAATATATATTCTTTTTTTTCTCTTTTTTTTAAGAAAAAACAATATTTGCCATATAAATTTTCTAATAGAATTAAATGCATGTTAATTTTCATTTAATAATCATAATACTATTTATTGTTTGTAACTAATATTTTATTTACACTCTATAATTCATAATTTTTTTATCTTTGACTTTATTTTTTTAATGCTAATTAATATGCATATATAAAGAATCAATTTATTTCTTTTTCCTTATATTTTTTTATATATTCATATCATTTTTCCATTTTCATTTCATTAAAAATAAATAAAAAATAAAAATAAATTTTAAATACAAATTTTTATTATACTTCAAAAAAAAAAATATATTAATTAAAAAATATTTATTAATATATGTAAATTAATTTATTATTGTTTAAATGTATAATGATTTATATAAAATAATATTCCATATTGAAAAAAAAAATTTATAATCCTTAATATATATTTTTATATTTAACATATGTAAACACTTCCATTTTCTTTATGTAAAAAAAATCCTTATTGAATGAATTTTTTTCTTTTTGTTTTGCCATTTAAAAGATTTTAATTGATTATTCCATGATACAGTGCATTTAATTTTATTATTTCCATATTCTAGTTTTTATTATATTTTATGTTATTTTTTATTTAAGTTTATATTTTTTATAATTTTTTTTTTTTTTTTTTTTTTTTTTTTTTTTTTTATAAATAAATACTTTTTATAACTATTTAAATAATTCAATATATTTTTTTATTTGAATAAATTTGATTTAAATTTTTTTTCCTTTTATAATTTTTTTTGTAAAATACTTCTTAATATTTAGTATCCATATTAAAATTTTAACTTTTTTGAAATGAATCCAAATGCTATAGAATTATTTAATAAGTTAAAGAGAGAGGATGAAAGTAATAACAAATGTTTTGATTGTAGAATTTCTAATCCTGATTGGGTATCAGTAAATCATGGAATATTTTTGTGTATTAACTGTTCAGGTGTCCACAGAAGTATGGGTGTACACATAAGTATAGTAAGAAGCATAAAAATGGATATATTTAGTGATGAACAATTAAAATATATGGATAAAGGTGGTAATAAAAAATTCCAAACTTATTTAGAAAATTATGGAATTAGTGATTTTATTCCAGAAAAAAAATATCGAACGAAAGCAGCCGAGCATTACAGAAAAATTCTTAGATCAATTGTTCATAATTCTGAACCTCCATCACCTTTATCATTAGATGAAGGAAAGGATATTATTAATTATGGAATAAATGAAAATATAAATTACAATGAAAATAATAAAAACTATAATATTAATGAACAAAATAACTACATTCCATCTATAAATACATCGGATATCATAGAAAATGTCAGTTCTACTTTTTCTACTTTATTTAATAAAGCATCAAATATAACAACAAATACAATAAATAATATAAACACAAATGAAATTATTGAAACAACAAAAGGTACACTGATTAGTAGTGGTAATTGGTTTACTGAAAAAACAAAAAGAATTGCAGAAAATGTTAGTGATAGTCCATGGTGGACTAAAAGTCAAAATAAAATAAAAGATGTTACACAAAATGCAAGTGGTTGGATCTCCAGTATTTCTTCAACTGTTTCAAGGTCAAATAGCAATTTGTTTTTTTCTAATAACAATTCTAATTTGAAAAATAATAATATGAATACTAATGAAGAAATTAATAATACTAATAATGGAAACGCAAATTTTAATAATTTTAGTGCAAATAATGAGTATATTAATTATAACTCAAATAATAAAAATAATTTTAATAGAAGTAATACAAGTAATAGTTTTAAGAAAGGTCAAAGTAGAAATGAATTTTTTAATGATGCTGAAGAAACTAACTGGATGTCTGATAGTTGTAAAAAATAACTGTAATTTATCAATACAAAAATTATATGTAATTAAAGTTATTTTAATATATATATATATATATATATATATATATATATATATATATATATATATAAATTATAATATTTGATACTTTTTATTTTATTTTTTATGTACATATGTTACAATTATTAAAAAAAAAAAAAAAAAAAAAAACAAATAAAATAATATTTACATTTGACCATAAAGAAATATTTCAGGATTTTGTTTATAATTATTTTAATAAAAATTTATATGTATATGCCGTTCTAATGAAAAATAATATATAATTTTGTTAAACACTTTTATTATAATAATAAAAAACAAAAAAAGCATTGTTTTTTTATCCTTTTTTTTATGAATTTTTAATTTTTTTTTAATTTATTATATTAATATGATTTTTTTTTTTTTTTTTTTTTTTTTTTACACATAAATTTTTTTTTTTATTTACATAAAAATAATAATAAAATAAAGCATAAAAAATCTATAATTATATATGCTTAAAAATTTAATTCATTAATGCTAGAAGCGTATTCAAAATTTAATTTAAAATAACGTATTATAATAAAAAAATAAAATACGTAAAATTTCATATACATTTTTAATCATCTTAAATGCATGTTGTGTATGAATATTTACACATTACATGTTGTAATTTAATATTTTCAAATTTTAGTTATATTATATATATATATATAATATATACTTATTTATTTTTTTAATTAAATAAAATTCTATTTGATGAGCAATTTTTATATTTTTATGAAAATTTTTCATTTGAAAATTTTTTAAAATATGAATATTTTAATCTACATGATACCTAAATGAATGTGTAAAAAAAAATTATATCTGCATTTTTTATAAATTAAAATAACATAAAAAATTTTTTAAAAATATTCTTATTAAATTAATTTATATTATATAATAATATGTGTGTTATCACAATTTTTTAGAGGATGTATCGTTGTATATACTATTAATAATATGAAACTCAACCACATTTTATATATATTTCACTAATTTTTAAATTTCATATTATTTTTGTTAAAAAACGTGAATATACTTATTTATTTTTATTTTATATATAATTTTTTTTTAAAAATATGTTAATTCAAATGAGAGGTAAATTATTATTCCATTTTAATTTTCGTATTTATTTTACGTTTTTCTTTTTAATTTAATTATTTATAATTTGTTTTATATTAAAATTTAATCAAAATACTATTTTCTTTTATAAAATCATATTATTAAGTTTATGTATTCCTTCATGTTTCTGATATAAAAATAGTGTATTACTAATCACTTTTCATTATTCTTTATTGTAATTTATTATAAAATCGTTTTTATGCAACAATCTTATATTTACGTGCATTTTATTTACTTTTCATGAGATAACATATGAAGAACAATATATATCAATATAATTAATTTTTCTGTTATTCATTAATGGAAAAATTTAGAAATACCTTTAACACAATAAAGGACATAAGATATATGAAAAGTGATAAATAGGAAGGTGAAAAATAATAAAAAAAAAAAGAAAAATGAAAACATGATTATTATGAAAAAGTAATTGCGAAAGTAAAAATAAAAAGAGAAGTTGAAAGAGACATAATAAATATAAATATATTGATTATAATGAAAAAAGGGTAGAAAAAGTTAAAAAAAAATGAGACCCTTTTATTTTGTCAAAATTTTAAGGAATTATTTTTAAGTTCCTAATTAACAAAGGATTCCACTAACCTTTTATAAAATAAAAGTGGAAATATTAGTAAAATAAAATGTTATGTATGCACGCTGGCTATTTTATAAAATATATGAATTGAGTTTTAAAAAAACAAATATTAGATAAGTGCATTCATTAAAAAAAAACATTATTTTTTCTTATTTGTGCTAATACTTTAGTTAATCTTATTTTAATTTATTTTGAGATAAAAGGTGTTTTAGTTTTATAGATTTATGAATATTTTTAAAAATATTATAGATAATTTTTCTGGAAAATTATTTTTTAATAAAAGAATATCATTTAACATATAATAAAAAGTTTCCATATATTGAATACTTTGGCCTTAATAAATATAATCAAAATTTTTTTCAAGCCTTTTAACTTTTTATAAATTAATTGGTATACTAAGAAAAAATAAAATATTAAAATATTCTTTTAACATAATTGTAAAGTTACATGAAATAATCTAATAATTTCATGTTATTTAATTTAATAACAGAATTACTTATTACTTATAAAAAGTATTTTTTTTTGATAAATAAAATTAACTGAGACCACTTTACATGCTCTTTATTAATATGTTTATTCAAAACTAAAGTTTTTGGGCATGCAATTAATAAGCTGCTGCTATAGTTTTTGTTATGCTATATTTTCATTTCATGTATTTTTAAGTTTATATGCTAATACTAACTTAATATGATGATAAAAGATATATGAAGTTTCATAAGAGTGGAATGAATAAATTTTATTAATTACATAATAAATATTATTTGAATGAAAACAATTAGTATCCATATTAAAATTTCATAAAAATGTGATAATTTATCAAATTAAAAATAAATATTTATAATAAACATATACTTAAATTTTTTATAAGTATTATGAACCTTACTTTATCAAAATAAAAAAAAAAAATTTTAATTCACAAAAAGCATATGAATAATTAAAAAGTATTGTTACATTAAAGGAAAAATATGAGAATTTTAAAAACCATTTATATTCATAGATACAGCTAATAAAACTTTATATTAACTCATTAATTTTTAGAATAAAATGGTATTTTATCATTCCCTAAATTATATGTGCAAACACAATACATTTAAAAAATACTAAACATGCCAGGTCGTGTATGTATTAATATTAAATTAGAATTTTAAATACTAATTTTTTTTGTTAATAATTATATTAAATTTTTATTTTTGTTTAAAATATTATTTAAGTTTTATTTTTTTAAATTAAATGTAAATTTTACATTTTACTTACATTTGTTTAAAAATGAATGTTCTCAAAATCTCTAATTAGAATATAGTTTAAGAAAAATATTAAGAATAAAAATATAAAAATTGAAATTACAAAAATTTCCTTATTACAAAGAAATAATAAATAAAAATAAAGTAGGATTTAAATGTATGTTTTGAAAGAGACTACTACATTTTTCAAAATATGGTAAGTATATAATGTACGACCTTTTTCTTAGCGTGCAATCTCTTTTAATATTAAATTCTCAATATAAACATTTCATAATTTATTTTTGTCATGTTTTCGTTGGTCTTTATTTTTCATATAATTTATTTTTTTAAATGAAGATTACATATTCTTCTTTTTATACAATATGTATGTATTTTGTTACTTGAATTTTTTCTAAACAAAATGTTCTTTTTTTTATCATAATGCACTAATGATTAAAGCACTTATATGCAGCATGATATTGAGTTTTATATTTACACATATCTTTATTAATTGAACACTCTATACTATTGTATTATATTGAAAAATAAAATAAATAAAGAATATATAAAGTTATATCTAATATTTTTATTTTATATAAAATTATACATTATACTTATTACATAATTTTTAATATTATATTACTGTTTTATGAATTGTCTCTTTAATGACTTTTAGAGAGTATTGAATAATCAAATTAATAAAGAGCATGCATTTAAGTCTCTATTAATTTTATTTATCCCAAAAAATACTTTTTATGTATAAGATGTAATTTAGTTATATTATGTAACATGAAATAATTAGCTTATTTCATATGACTTTAAAATATTTTAAATAAAATATTTTTATTTAATATTAAATTTATTCTTAGTACACTATTCGATGTTTAAATTAATTTAGTAAAATTTTTTATATTTTTAATAAAGATTAAATGCTCATTCAACAAAAATATTTGATTAAATAAGAAAAAATCTTTTACAAACGTAAATAATTTCCTATTAGAATCATTTAAAAGATTTTCAAAAAATTCTTATAAATAAAAATTAAAATCTCTTTAATTTCAAAAAAAAAAGATAAATATATATATGTTTTTAAAAATAAAATAGGTAAAATAATTTTTTTTATGAATACATAAATTTAACCATTGTTTTTTTTTTTTTTTTTTTAAACTAGCTATTTGACATATTTTATAAGATGTAAGCATGAATAGCTAACTAATTATTTTATTTATAATTTACTATTATTTTATAAAAATTTATAATTTCTTCTGTTAATTAACTATATAAGATAAAATAAAGAATTTCTTTATAAATTCTAAAATCTTTTTAAATAAAATGTATTAATATTTTAAAAATTATTAACATGATAATTCATTGGAACTAATTCATATAATTTAATAAAATTTCTCATATATTTTTATTAAAGCTTTTATAAAAAAAATTATCTTTTATTCAATAACGTATCTCCTCATAAAAGATAGAAAAAATTTTTCCTAATGTTAAAAAAAGATTAAAAAAAAAAAAATAGTAGTTTTCTCTTATTTATTTAAAAACATTTTCAGTGTACATATTACAATGTACGTATGATAGTGTGCTCAATTTAGTGAAATTAATTTAATGTAACCAATCTGGTGTATTTAAAATTTAGAACAACCTAATGAATTTAATTTAGTGAACCCAATTTAATGTATTAAATTTAGTGATCTTAATTTAAAGTATTTAATTTAGTGAAATAAATTTAGTATATTTAATCTAGTGAATTTATTTGTGCACACTTTTCTTCATATTTATTTTGCTCATAATATTTAGCTATATTCTATTTTATTTTACTTAAAGTCCAAAAAAGGTCCATAATATTCATCATAGATTATACATCTATAATTATCATTAAAAAAAATTAAAGAAATTAAAAATATGAAAAATAGAAAATCTATTACCAATTATTTTTTCAAAATTAGAATGTGTTATATTGTAAACCAAAATAATTTTATTACTAATGTATCATTTTTGAAAAATATATTATTTTTATCTTTTTTGATTAATTATCATAAGCCCGTTAAGTCACGGTGCAAAAAAGGTTTCATTCATGTTATAAAATGTTATAATTTTTTTTCTGAAAAGATTGTAATATGGAAGACATTTTACTTTTTTTTAATTAAATTTTATTTTGTAAATTTTTTTAATGTTAAGAAAACAATATATAATTAATGTTCTACGAGTTTCTAAATATAAAAACAGATGAAAATATGATAATGTTTTCCTTAATTAAAATTTTAATAGAATAAAAGAAATATCTTTTAACAAATAAAAGATTAGATATATTATCTATATAAAAAGAAAAAATTTTAACCTAATAATAATTTAGAGTAACCTTAAGTAAAAGAAGGGAAAGAAAAAAAACATCATTCAATTTATAATTTGACACACTAAATTAGGTACTCAATAAAAAAAATTATAAGAAAATAAATACAAAAAAATGTAAAATTAAATTTTTATTATACAAGAAGAGAAAATATAACAAAATATGCATTTTATTTATATTAATCTAAATCAATTTTAAATGATATAGGAATTATTTTATCATACAGATTTTAAACAAATACCCCCATATAAATTTTATAGAAAAATATATATATATACACAATTCCATAAGATCTTAAATAGATGGATGTTGCTAAGAAAATAGCTAAAAAAATAAAAACATAAAAAATTAAAAAAAAAAAAAAGAAAAAATAAATAGCTAAAAAAAAAATATAGAAAAAATAAATAGCTAAAAAAAAAATATAGAAAAAATAAATAGCTAAAAAAAAAAATATAGAAAAAATAAATAGCTAAAAAAAAAAAAATAAAAAATAACAGAAAACAACCCAAAAGACGAGTAACCAAAAAGAAAATAATGAAAAAAACAAAATAAGAATTAAAATAAAAACAAAGTGAATAAATTATTCTATCTTTTAAAAAAGTATATTGAATCATTAAACTTAAGTTATTTTTATACAACTTATCTTTAAATAAAAATCGTTTTTTATTAGTTTACACTTATTTTTCTTTCAATATGAAAGAAAATTACAACTTTTTTTTATATGTTCCATTTATTTTTTTTTTTTTACTATGGAACTCTACATATGTATGTGGGCAAATAAAGGATAAAGTAAAAGTAAAGCAAATTGCAAAATTTTTTGAAAATTATAATAATTCACCTAACTCTCGTGTATATTTAGATGAAAATAATTCTATAGGGGAACACTCTCAAAATAGAGATCACTTATTAAATAGAAGAGACATAATAAAAGATGAAAATATTGAGTCTTTGAGTAATGATATTGATAAAGATTCACTTTCCTTTTATGAAGGAGTAAATGACACCGGATATGATGAAAATTCTTATCAACGAAATAAAAGAAATATATTACAGGAATATACTGATGATGACTCTGATATATATGATGAAGCATATGCAAACGATAAAAATAAACCTAATGTTAAAAATCCTCGTTTGTACTTAGGTAAATCTTTTGAAGACTTTCATAATGCTTTAGGACTTACTATAGACGATTTTAATTCAGGTACAGATTCTTACTACGAAAAGGATAACATTTTCAGTAAATCCTCGATCTCTAACGAATCCATATATGATAATATTCAATTAGATAAATCAAATGTATATGAAAATTTTAACACGGAATCAGAAAAAGTTAAAACCGGTTATCCACATTTAAGTGTTGAAAAGGAACCATTTGATGCATATAAATCAAGAAATTCATATAATACACCTTTATATGGAGATAAAAATAAAGATCATGGAAATTATTCAAAATATACTGAACATATATATGATGATCCAGAATCCTATTTACGTCATAAAAATGAAAGTATATATAATAAACCAGTATCCTATTCAAGACGTAATAATGAAAGTATATATGATGAACCATTATCATATTCAGGACATAATAATGAGAATACATACGATGAAGTATTTAGAACGCCACATACTTCTAATAATAATATATATGATGAGGCAATACTTCACTTATCAAGAAGGAATTCATCTGCAGATAAATCTCCTGTATTAGTTAGATCTAAATATGATACACCTGTTGAAAATGATGATAGTATAAATCATGATAATATATTATCGAGTGAAAATAATGTAGGGCATAATTCTAGAGAAGAAAGACCACCTACAATTCCTCCCTTTGATTTCAATGCAGAAAAAAATTTTCATAAACGTTATGATTATAATGATCAACTAGGAAATACAAATAATTATTTTATGGAAAATTCAGATACCATTCAAAATAAGAAGGGATTCTTAGGATTTTTCAAAAAAAATAAAAGCAAAAATAATTCTACAAAGGATACACAAAGGTATGAAGATACTTCTAGGATAATAAACGAAAAATTAAATGAAAGATATGGAAATAGTGAGAATTTAACTGAACTAGAAATGTTTAATAAATACCAAGACAAATATTTTTTAAATAGAATTGTTAATGTTTCTAATAGTCGTATAAAAAAGATGTTAGGAAAAGATAGTCCTAGTACAGTACCAGTCACACACGAATTGGAATCAGTTACAGGGAAATGTCTAGTGAAAAATATACCTATGTTATCTAATGATATTATGTTAAAAAATTTATGTTTTAATAATTTAAGAACATTAAAATATTATCAACAAATAATTTCAAGTATGGATTTTAATTGTAAATCTAAAAACAAAAGTTGTATAGATATAGGACCCATGGTTTATAATGAAAGCAAAACCGTAAATTCTATTATAAATATATTACCTAATATTTACACTTTAAACATGACTGAATTTATTTTAACAAATCCAAAATTATGCAAACAATTTAAGTTAGAACTTAAAAAAAAAAAAGAGAAAAACTACTTAAATGTAACAGACATTGTTTTGTTACTTTCAAACTCATATTTTAAAAGAGTAAATCCAAGATTAGTTAATCATATGCTTACATTTCTTAAAACTCAAAATCACACTCACCTTATCAAATATTACCTTGGTGTTTTGATATCATTTTCTCCATTTATTAAACCAGCAATTAAAATATACTTTCATGAGAATTATCATAATTTAACTCCTCACTTCCTAGATTTCAAAATTAAAAGTATCATATATGATTTAATAGGAATAGCTCATAGATGGACTGCAGTATTTAATAAAGAAAGTACACAACAAACTACTAATATAAATACTAATATGCTAAAAACGCTTAAAAAATTTTATAATAATACAAACGTGAGGTTCTATAAAAAATTCAAATCATTGGAGAGTATTTTATCACATGAAAAAATACTTAATGATCATCAGGAAAAAAATTATGAGAGACTTAAGGCTATAAATGAAAATATTATGAAGTATATGAATAATATATACTCTCTATTTTTTACTAATAAAGAAAGATAATTTCCCTTTAATAAAAACAAAAATATATACATTTATTTATTTAAACTTTTAAGCATTTTTGTTCATCTAAATTTTTAAAGTTATTTTTTTTTATTAATGTAATATTCATTAACATTTATGGTATTTTTATATAACTTAAAAATAAAATATTATGAATATTTCTATTTTTTAATTTTTTATTTTTTAAAAAAAATATTAGATATTAAAAATTTCTTTGTTAAAAAGTCTTATGTGAAATATATTCTTTGAATACAACATTTAAAAAACAAAAAGAAAAATTTAATTATATTTATTAAATTCATAGCAATTCTTCTATAACTTCAATTGGTAATTGATCTAACATAACCTAAAATATAAAAAAAAAAAAAAAAAATATATATATATTTATATATATATGGAAAAATAATTAAAAATAAATATGTTCGGAAGATAAATTTTTTTTTTAAAATTTCAGTTATGTACAATTAGTTCTTCATAGGATTTTTTTTTTAAAATTTCTTCATTTAAATTTTCTTTAAAATAATTCTTGTGCTTTATAATAAAACGAATAATTTTTTTTATGTAGTCTTGATTTTCTTTATCATTTGATTTATCGTTAAGGTAGCTTTTTACTTTTTTTTGAAATGTTCTATTATTTAAAAGTTTCATTGCTTCTTTCAAATTAATTTTATCAGGTAATTCATTTTCTTTTCCATCAGTTTCATTTAACATAGTTAATGCATTTTCAAATGAATCTTTTTGTTCTTTATTTTTTTGTTTTTCTAAATTTTCAATGAAAGATTTTTCACTACTGAAAAAAAAATTTTCTTTATCCATTTTTTTTATCCTTTTTATATAATTATTCATTTTTATATCACTATTATTTATATTATTGACTGAAGTGATTTTGTAATTTTCTTCACTTTTACCAATGTTATCATAAGGATCATATTTAGCATCAAAACGGTAAACATAATTTAACATAAAATCCTTAAAATCATTCCATAATATAATTAAATTTTTTTTATTTATATTATCAACATTATTCAAATTTTGCTTTCGTAATAAGTCTTCATTAGAATTTAGAATTTTTCTTTTAATAGAATCATCTGGTTCCCACAAACGAAAATTTTCCATAGCTTTATGTAACAAATACTTTAATTCATTTATTTTTAATGTGTCTAAAAATTTTTTATCTATATTTTTTTTATTCAAAAATTTTCTGTTCAATAATATTAGCGTTTTAATCTCTTCGATTGGCAAATAGAAATCAAATAAATAATACCTAATAATTGGAAAATTATCAAAATCAATATTGTTTTTTTCGCAAATGCATATTTGTACCAAGCGATTTCTTAAGCTATCCGTTGATATTTCTATAGGTAACAAATAATTTCTTTTGTAAATTTCTTTTTTTAATTCTTCCAATGATAATTTAGAAAAATCGGAGAAATCAAGAAAATCGTTATTGTTGTTTATAGCATAATTTAAATTAACTTTGCTTTCATTCAATTCCTCATTACTCAACATATGTTTCATTCTTACTTCTATTCCTTTTTCTTTTTCCTCATTGTCTTTTTTTTCTCTATTTTCTAAATTTTCTTCACATTCTAAAGATGAATTTTTGCAATTTATATTTCCATATTTAAATTCATCTTCATTTAAGTTTATTTGTTCTTCAATACCATTTAATTTCTTACATTTTTCATTTGTACTAGTTTTTTTTGTATTATTTGAATAAAAATCATTAATATCAGAGTTAGATCCAAAAAGTTTAGAATAAAATAGTGATTCTTCTCTCCTAATATCATTTTTCCACTTTTCTCTATTGCATGTTTCTTCAAAATTTCCTATATTTGTATTTTCATTTTTATTCATAAAACTACTATTATTGTTATACTCATAGTTTAAATTTTTGGAAGCCTTTATCATTTTCTTTTTTTTTTCTTCAGCTTCTTTTTTTTTTGAGCTACAAACTATATGATTTTCAGAAGCATTTTTTTCTTTATTACTACTGTAAATATTCTTTAAAATACTACTCATTTCATCAACATATTTTTCATCTATTTCTTTCTTTGACTCTTTATTCATTATTCCTTCCTTATCTTTTGTATTTTTGTCTGTATGTGTTTCATTAATATTTTCTTCCTCAATTCCTTTTTTTGAATTTTCTTCCTTTTCATTAAATAAATCAAGTGTAAATATATCATCAAATTTTTCATATTCTTCATAACTTGTATTTAAGTTTTCTTTTTTTTTTTTTTTTATGTTTTTTACAGTTGATTTATAGTTTTTCTTTGTATGCACAGTATGTTTATTTACTTCGTTACCTTCTCTATTTAAACTTTTTTGTGTTATGATTTCCTTTTGTTTTTTCGATTTCTTATCAATATAATTATCTTTATAATTTAAATTACTCATTAAATATATTTTACTTGTCCTATTTTTAGAACCCTTTATATACTTTTTATTTTTTTCTTTCATTAATTCCTCTTTTTTTCTGATATTCAAATTTTCATTATTAGCATAGCTTTTCTCATAACCTACAAATTTACAATTTCCATTTATTACATCTTCTTCATTATTTACTTCAGTTGGTTTGGATAGTTGTTCATCTTCATTTTTAAATTTTTCAGTGAACATTTCTTCATCTATATACATATTTTCACCTGTATTCTTATCACTATTTTCTTGCAAATCACCCACTTTTGTTTGTAGTTTTCCCATATAATTGTTAGAATTTATATGTAACTCATTAGAAATTTCCGTTATAGTATTTTTTTTTGATTCGTGATTATTGTTAATTATTTTGCTAATATAATCTCTTTTTGACTTCAATTTTTGAAGCCATTCTATTTTTTCTTCTGTTATAGATGAATCTAAGGTTAAATTAAAAAAAATTAAATTATTTTTATTGTTATTATCTAAAATGTTGAAATCTTCATTTTTTTTAATAATTTTATCAACATACACAATTATATTCATATTTTTTTGCAGAATTAATTCTTTTTCTTCTTGTTCATATAATGGATCAAAAGGTAAACCAACATTTATTGTTAATTTATTTTTATGTAATAATGCTAAAATTTTTATATACTTGTTATTTTTATTTTTTATATATACATCACAATCGACAAAAACACCATATGTATGCACTGACGTAATTCTTCCTTTTAATTTCTTACCAGTATATATATCTTTTAAGAGAATGCCATTCTTATTAATTTTATCTCTTAATTCTTCTGTCTCACTATCTTTATTACAACTATAATAAGATGTACTAATATCTTCATTAGAATCATAATCATTAGAAACAATTATATTTTTTATAGGAACATAATTTTTATATGAAGGAGGATTTTTATAACCTATATTAAAATATTCTTCATAATGCTCTTCATTAATATTAAATAATTGTATATATCTATGCAATAAAAATTTATAATTTTTATTTTTTAAGGCTAAATATTTTTGTTCTTTATTTAAAAATCTTACAAATACATCTCCAAAAAAGTTACCTTTTTTATCTCTAATGTATATAATATATTTATCTATTATTTTGTAAGGTTTAAAAAAATTTTTAATATCAATATTATCTATATGAAATGGAACTCCTTTACATAATATTAAACAATTGTATGTTTCCGATGACTTATCTACTGGTAAAGGCAAGATGTTTTGATTACTCAAATCTTCATTTGTGTTCTCACTTCCCAATGACTTTATCTGTTCATTTATACTTTCCTTCTTAATATTTTCAATTAAAGATTTATGTATATCTTTTCTTTTAAAGAATTTATTATTTTTTAATTTTTCCCTTTTCTCATTAAGCTTTATTTTTTTCTTAATATATTTTATAGTATTCCTTTTAATAGGGTTAAATGAATATCTTTTCTTATTTTTTAAGATGATGCCATTTTCTATTATATCTATTTTTGATTCATTTGTCTCACTAAAAACATTGAATAATATTTTCTTATAACTCTTTAACTTTCCTCTTATCTTATATGAATCTATACTTTTGTTCAGAAAATAAAAAAATACTAATATTACAAGATTGCAAAATATTTTCATATATATTTATTTTAATTAAAAAAAAAAAAAAAAAATATTTGATTTTAAGGGGAAAATATAACTAATAGGTTCACATTTTTGACTAAAAAGAAAAGAAAAAAATATATTTTTTGAAATTATTATAAAAAATAATGATTTAAAATATTTTTTTAAAGAAATATAATTTTTTTTTTTATAAAGGTTATTTTACATAGTTATTCTTTATATTTTTATTATTTTGACATAAATTATTTTTGATAAACCATTAAAAAAAAAAAATATTCAAACATAAAAAAAATCTTCTAAAGTTTTTATTTTAATGTTTAGATATATTTAAATATGTGTAATAACTAAAAAGTGTTTTATTAAAAAAAAAAAAAAAAAAAAAAGAAAATTTAGAGTTAAAAATTTTTTGTTCGTCAATTTTATTTTTGAAGTATGTCAACTATAAAATTATAGGTGATCATATTTGATGTACTAAATATTGCTATTCTGACATAGTAATATTCAAAGTTTTATAATTATTTAACAAAACAAATTTTTAATATATGAAATATAATACGAAGAACAAAATGTTTTATTTTTTTTTTTCTAATATGAAATCTTATAAATCTTTAAAATGTCCTTTTAAAAAGAAAAAACCAAAATGTAAAATTATATACTATATGCTTAAATTCTTTTATTCCATATATACGAAAAAAAATTTAATACATATTTAAAAATTAATGTTATTATAATTTACAGAATTACCTGTACAATTCTTTTTAAAAATATATATATTCAGAAAAAAAAAAACATATTGAATTATTTAACCTTATGGTTTCTCTTATTAAAAAATACTTTAAGTTTAATAACTATCATCAATATTTACTAAAATTCATAAATATTTTAACAACCTTATATCTATTAACTTAGTAAAATAAAGAAGATAATTTAATAAAATAATTCTTCCTTAAAATGCTAATTTTAAAATACTATTAATTCTGAACAGTAAATAAAATTTCCATATTAATAGAATAAAAATATAAAATTTTATATTTTAAAATTATTATTCATTATTACAAAGAACATAATTATTTTTACAAAATTATTTATTAGCGTTTACTTTTAATTTTTCCAAAAAAAAATAAAAAAAAAAAAAAGATAGAAAAAAATTAAATTTTCCCTAAAATTGTATAATATTTTTTTAAATTAATATTGTTTATTATATAAAGAACTGATATACGAAATTAATAAAAGTAAGTTCAGCGGACGACATGCTCAAACATTTAGCATAGAAAGAAAATTCTTTGTATGCTAAATAACTATCAGACTTTTCGGAATTTATACAATTTCAGATGAAATTGAAAAATTCGAAATATATTCATTGTAGAGCTGCGTCATTTCATCATCACTTTTGATAATCTGTTGCATTATAATAATAAAACATCACAAATACTATAGCAATGATCTTGACTAAGTATTCGTCGACATATAGGATACAAATTAATTGATTGATTATGTATATTTTTCAACACTATTATTGTACCAGTTGAAAAAATGATTAAAAAAATGAAAAGAAATTTCTATATAAGATGAACTATCAATAAATTTTTCATTTATTTACTCTTTTTAATATAAATTGAATTCAAAAATAATATAAAATATTTATATTTATAAAAAATAATTTATCTATTTTTACATTACCTCTTTTTTTTTTTTTTTTTTTTCTCCTGGGGAAAACATTTAAAATATATTTTTTTTAATTTTTTTTTTTTTTTTATTATATATTTTATTCTATTGGAATTTTTCAAATTTTATTTTTTATTAAATATCTCCATTTCTTATGTATACTAATATATAACATTTTTATTATTTTTTTTTAGGGTAATTTTTTTTTTTTTTTTTTTGTAAATTGAGAGGTAACACAAATATGTAAACTTACTCCTTTAGGACAAATTTTAAAATAATTCAATAAAAAACAATATGAATATTTTTTGTACTATAGGTTATTAAAAAAAAAGAAAAAATAACATACAAACATTATTTACTATTATGAAAACGCAATATTGAAAAAAAAAATTTATAGAAATTACAAAGAATAACTTGTTTTGTTCTTATTTTCAAGCCTTGATGTAAAAATAAAATTATAAAACTCATATGTTTTAATTTTTTTTTTTTTTTTACATCTATTTAAATTACTATTAATTATATTATTCTTTATATTTTAAGATACAACTATTTATTGGATAATGTTTTTTTCTATTAATATTTAGTTAAAGGATATATTTTTTTTTAAATAGAAATTAAATAAATTAAGAGTATATTAAGATTGAAAATGTAATTAGTGTTTTTTAGATAATTTGAAATTTTCTTAGTCATGTAAATTTATATGTATGATAATAAAAAAAAATTTTTATTTTCAGAAAATTTATAAAGTAAAAGTATTATGTAAAACAAAGCATGATGCCTATATAAACCCTCCATGAAATTTGTACTCATTTTTTGATAAATAATTATTTATTAATTTTTTTATTAGGAAATTATACTTAAATTAAAAAAAAAAAAAAAAGGAAAAATATAAAATTTTAAATGACTTTTATTATAAAAATTTTCTTAATAATTTTTATATAATTAATTAATAAAAGAGAAAATTAATTTATATATGGATATGGTCTTTTATAAATCATTAGGTTCAATATTTTTTATAATTATATATAATCTTTAGAAAAAAAAAATGTATATAAATTTTTTAACAAGTTTTAAATGATAAAAAAATTCTGTTCAATGAATAAAATACTATCAAAATTTTGTTGAATTTTATTAAATTCTAGGTGTGTTATAAAAAAAATAAAAAAAAAAAAAAAAAAGCTTATTTAATTGACAATTACATTTATAAATTATTATTTATTAAAATATCTAATTATTATTATTTTTAAGATCAAGATTAAATTTGTTTATATTTCGTTTAAGCAATAATAAGTATAAATATATATAATTCTTATAATATTAATAACAAAATAGGAAAAAAAAAAAAAAAAGAAAAAACATTTAATTTAAAAGATATAAAAAAATTATATTTCTTCATATATGATAAAAAATATTTAAAAAAAAATACTTTTATATATATGTTTATTTAAAAGGAATAACATTGGAAATAGTTAACAAAACGAATGGGTTATTAAAAAAATAAATGAAAATTAAAATATTTGTATTAAATTTGTCATAAGCATGGAAAAAAATGAAAAAAAACTTAACAGTATTATATATCTAATGAAATATTTGTCATATTGTGAGAAAAAAAAAAAAAAAAAATTAATGAATATATATCTATTAGTAGTTACAAACTAAATGAATTTTTTTTTTAATAAATTTTTTTTTTATGTATTTTTCTTTTTAATAATTAAAAGGAATTTTTTTAAAATATAGATTCTTTAAAAAATAAAAAAAAATCTATTATTATACTTTATATAAATCAAAAAGAAGTGAAAATGGTAAAGATACGTAAAAATGTTGAAAACATGGAAATTTATGATTACATGAAGGATTTAAATGAAAATATATGGGAGTATTTTTTTGATGATTCCTTAGCTCATGAAACAATTTTTCATTCATTAAACGAATTAGAACAAATTATTATCTCTCGATTGTTATTTATTCAACAAGTAGTTTCTGAAAGAGCTATGAGATTATGGATAAATCCTCATTTTTTAAAAAATTTAAGTGAAGGAATAAAAAATTTAGTAGATGCGAAAATATTAATAGGAAGTGATACAAAAAAAGATAATTATAGTCAATATAAAATAAATGATAAATTTAGATATACTTTATTAAATAAAATTTATAAATTTAACGAAAATAATATTTTTATATTCAATTATAACATTAAAGAACAAATAGAAAAAGAAAAAAATTTGTATGAAAATAATTTATTTCCAACAAAAGAAGAAATTTTTAGCTATGCTCAAACTAAATGGAATAATTTACTACATTTTATTGCCTCTCCTAAAATGAATAATTTAAATTCTTATGTGATTTGTAACAATAATAATAATGAGGAAAATAATTATGCAAACACAGATTATTTATACTCTAGTAGTTTTAAAAATGATGACATAAATAAAAATAAATCGTTATATAAATTGTCGTATAATACTTTCAAAAAAAATGAAAAAAAAGATCAAGACGAAGAAGAGTATTATGAAAATTATGAAGATGATCAAGAAGACGAAGAGGAAGAGATGGAAGAAGAAGAAGAAGAAGAAGAAGAAGAAGAATATAAAAGACAAGAAGATCAAGAAGAAGAAAATCAAGAAGATGAACAAGAAATACATAGTGAAGAAGATAATAAACATGAAAAAAAAGAGAAATCAAAAGAATATTATGATTATGAAAAAGAAAATAATAATTATATATATAAGGATAATTATATAGGTAAATGTAATGATTCTAATATTAATAAAGTAAATAATGAAAATGTAAACCAATATGATTACTATATGAGAAGAAAAAAAAAAAAAAAAAAAAATATATATGCTTATAAACAAAATGAATTATATTATAAGAGCTTGCAAAACAGGGAAAATAGTTATATGGATGGTGAAGAAAATAGTAATTCAATTTTTTGTTCTCATGAAAAAGACACCTCTTATATTCCATGTGACAGTGTAATTGAAGTATTGAAAAGGAAAAAGTTCATTTTAGACGATTCAAACAATAATAAAGCTATAAGTATGAGTAGAGAAGCATTTTCTTGGTTTTTAAAAGATTTAAGAAGTAGGATAATATCATTAGTTCTTGAATATTTACTAATAATAGACGATGGAAATGTGACAAATATAGCTCAAGAAGTTTCTGTAAAATATAAAAAAAAGAATAATGTTGATAATAGTAATAGTAGTCATGTATATGACAAAGATAAAAATGATTCTTTTATTGATGATTCTTATATAACAAAAGTAAATAAAGATCCCAAAAAATCTGAAATTTATGTTAAAGAAACTTTACTATTAATTTTATCTATATCCCAATGTGATATTAGTCAACCAATTTTTTTAGATAACCTGACAAAATCCCAAAAGGAATTTGTAGATTTTGGTATGCATATTGGTTTATTTTATAAACCGAATGAAAATTATGTATTTATAACTCCTTATGCTTTATTATTAACTATCAATAATACGAATACACAGCATTATTTATCTTTACTGAGTAATATGACTGTTGAAGGCTTAGGTAATGATAAATTTAAAAAAAAACTATATGAAAAATATTTTCATTCTTATTTATTATTGCAAGAACAAAAACAAATGATGGATAAATCATTAGAAGAAAAAGATGCTCAAATGATAGATAAAAACAAAATAACCAATAATTTAATTAATGAAGGTTTATATTATGAAAAAAAAATGAATGAAAATAATAATTTAGAAATTGGTTTAATTGTTCAAAGTAATTTTAAAGTGTATTTATACACATCATCTTTGTTAAAGATTAATATATTGAGTCATTTATGTGAATTACAAGCAAGAACACCAAATATGGTGGTAGGAATATTAACAAGAAGAAGTGTACTAAATGCATATAATTCTGATATAACAGCAAATCAAATAATCAAATTCTTAGAATCGTATTCTCATCCATGCAAAAATAATTTTAAAAACCCTATACCTATAAATGTAATTACTCAATTAAAGTTATGGGAATCAGAAAGACATCGCTTAACCTTTGAAGATGCTATTGTTTTTAAAACTTTTGAAAAAGAATTTTTACCATACTTGTATCAACAAATTGTTATATGGGCAAATAGTAAAAATTATTTACTTTACTATACACCATGGCCTAAAAATAATACCAAAGAATTTGATGTTTGGTTAAAATCAGAAAAATATCTCTGTTGTATTTATGAATCAAAAAATGAAATAATTGATAAAATTAAAGAAATAAGAGAAAAATTAATAAAAAAAAGACAAAAACCATAAATATTTCAAAAAATCAAAAATAAAAAACGTCAATGAAAAGAAAAATTTTAAACAAATACCTAATTATTATGAAGGAAATATATTCTCCAATTTTTCATTTACTTAACAAGTAATAATATCTTTTTGTTTACTTACACATTTAACAATATATGTTTTTATATAATTATTTTTTTGATTCTCATGTTCATCCATATATTTACTTATACATTTGTTAATAAAATCATTCTATAATTTACAAAATGAATTATTTGTATATATATTTAGGTATTAATCTCATGACCATGCGATTATTCATTTATTTTCTGAATAATTTAATCTACTCATTATTTTTTAATATTTTATTTACAAATTAAATGTAAAAAGAATCTAAAAGTTCACATATGTTTCAAAAATTAAAAGTAATTATTTCTTTCCATTTGATTTTTTAATTTATTAATTTTCTAATTGTTAATTATGATATATATTTTTTTTAAAGAATACATTATTAAATATTAGGAAAAAATTATTAATTTTATTTGCTTTATTTTATTATTTTTTTTTTTTATAAGTATTATTGTATAATGCTGATGATTTTTATTTTTACAGGTATTTATTTCCTTTTTTTCGTAACGCATTAAAAATTATATACCTTAATATTTTTTAATTTTATATAATTTTTTTTTTTTTTACAAAGTTTTTTGTAAATAAATAAATAAATATATATATATATATATATATATATATATATATATATATAATATTAAAAAAAAAATATAAAATTATTTGCTTATAATACTTAACTATATATATTTTAAAAACATTTGCTATTTTTTTAGTATAGATAAAATACTTATATTAAAAATAAATTTAAGTTAAAACTATTTAAAGTAACAGATATTTCATGAATTGTTTTTATTCTCAATGAAAAGCTGTTGCTAGTGGGAATACTTCAGCACATAAAACCTAAAAATTTTAAGAAAAAATAAAATATGAAATTTTAATTTTAAAAATAATTTACAAAATGATTATTACAAATGTTTAATATATTTTTGCAAAAAAAAAAAAAAAAGAAAAAATTACTTTAAAACTATTCATAATGTCGACTAATTCTGGATATTTCTTTCTGTTTTTAATTAAAAATTTTAAAAATTTAAAACATCTTCCTAATTTATTTTTTTCTGGGTTGAGCTCAATATCTTTTAGTAATCTTTCATCAATTGCTTCATTGCAGTCAATATACATTTCTAAAGCTGTATATAATAAAAAAAAATATTATAAAAGTAATTTTTAATTTTTATAAAAAACTTTTTTTAAAACAATCATTAAAAGTGGTAATTAAATAATTCACCTGCTTGATAATAGCACAAATCTCCTTTTTTATGCTCATTGAAAAATTTGATAAAATCATTCATATATTTTATTCTTATTTGTTTTAATAACTCATCGTTATATTCAGGATGATTTAAATTAAATATTTCATTTAATTTAGTTGTTATTTCTTTTTTCATATCTTCGTTTATGTGATCGAGTGAAACTGTAGGATAAAACAAAAAAATATTACAGATATAAAAATTAAGACAGTTATTTAATTAATTCTTAAAAATTTCAATGTAAAAATAGCAAACCAGTGTATAAATAATGGGAAATTAATGGAGCCAATTTGTGATTATAATTATGATGTGGAAATATTGACTTAATTTTTAAAATGTTATTAATCATTTTTACAGGATCTTTATCTGTAATTTTTTCAAAAAAAAAAAATATATGTATGTATATATATATATATATATATTTATATATTTTACCTTTCCTTTTTATGATTTCATAATTTAATTTATATACAGATAAATCAATATTTGGTTGTGATAAAAATGTGTTCATGTATATCAAAGAATTTTCTAAAGGATCATTTTTAATACACTCATAAAATTCATTATCTTCTTGATTTGAAGTATTAGATTTATTTTTTTTTTTATTATTTTTGTTTAAGTCATCTTTTTCTGAAATATCATAATCATGCATGTTTAATAAAATTTTAATTATATTTTTTCCAATTTTTCTATAAAATCTACTAGAAAAAATATTTCCTGTCATATATAATAAATGTCTATATGTTTTAAATAGCATCTTTCTTAATGCATAATGATAAAAACAAATTTGATCTTCATGAATATCAATAAATTGCTTATGAGCCATATGCAAAAGATTCAATCCTTTACTATAATCACTAAATTTGCTTTTTGAATTTATATCATTATCTAATAAAATACTTTTTTTTAAATTGAAATCATCACTATTGTTGCCACTCTTCTCATCGTCATTAAAATTATAAATATTATTCTTTTGGGAATTTAAAAAACTATTTAAATGTATATTAGGATGGTTATTAATATAACTTAAGGATATATTATATTCTAGCCAGAAACATTGTGTTTCATTTATGTTTTTTAAAAAATTATTATCTAATGGGTTTGTAAAAAGAGTTGCAGTTTTTTTTGCGTCTTTTATTAGCCCACATTTTAAGCAAGTTTTAACTGTTTTGGTATTAATAAATCTATCATCGACATTATGATTTCTACATTGTTCTAAATACTTATATGATTCTAAATAATTGCCATTTCTTTTATATATGATCCCTTTAATAAAAATTAGTTCATATTTTATATGTTCGTTTTTTTTATATTTAATATTATTAATACCTTTGTCAATAAAATTTAATGCTTCTTTTGTACAATTAATATAGTCATATATTTGACTAATAAATGAATATAGGCATAAAACAAAATACTCATTTTTTTCTTCTTCTGTTAAGCAAACCTTTTTTATATCAATTTTTATTTCCTTTTTTTCTTTATCAAATTTTATTTCATCTCCGTTCTCAGATTTCTTTGATTCTCTTCCTAATGGTGATATTCCCATCATATTGTTTAACACTTCTTTTTCTTCTATAAAATTTTCTAATTGATTTTCCTTAACAGTATTTTTTCCATTTTCTAACTCCTCTGTATGGCGTTTTTCATTATCACCATCTGTTTTTTCGATATTATTATAAGCTTTACTGTTTATTTTTTCATTTTTCATTTCATTTATATCATTTATATTTCTGTTTTGTTCTACGAGATCGCTTTTTAAATCATTTTCAAGTAGGCATTCTCTTTTTTCAAAATTATTTTCGTGATCATTAATGTTGTTCATTTTCTTTACTTTTCGTATGTTTTCCATTAAAGAATTAGAATTGTTACAATTATTATAATTATCATCAAAAAAGGAGAATATTTCCTTTGTCTTATCATAATTATCAATGTATTTATGAAGTATAAAAAGAATAATTTTAATATTTTTAAATGTGAAAAGTGATTTGAAATAACTAAAAATTGTTAAAGAATTCTGAAAGCATAAACTACGCAGTAATTTTTCTACATAATAAAAGAACCTTTTTTCATTATAAAAATGTAAAGGAAATATTTTTAATAAATTTGATTTATCATATATTCTTTGTAAATTTTTAAAATAACTTTCAAAGCAATCTTCTTCTTCTTCGTTTAAATTTTTAATTTTATAATAATATAGTGTATTCATATTTTTTTCAAATTTTCTTTTATAGCAATATAGAAGATCAACATCAAAAATCATTGACCAATGAACATTGTTATAGGAATATATATCTTTATTAGACTGTAAGTTACTACTTTCTTTTTTCAGATTTATTTTTAATGAATTAATATATTCATCTACATTATTCGAATCCAAATTATCTTTAAATTTAGATTCATCTATTAAGTTTATATTAACAAAATTATTAAATTCAGAAATTGTATATACATCATATTTATGCATTTCTAAATTTTTACATACATAATCGTTTAAAATATTTTTATCAATTTTTGATAGCAACTTTAAGTTTCTATCAGATCCATATATATCTAAAATACAGTCATGTAATAATACCTTAACATTTTTATTAATATCCACTTTTTCATTTATCTTATGCTCATTTTTGTAATCGAGATAAAATAGACTAGACAAAGTTTTTTTATCTGATTCATTTTGCAACAAATTTGTATTATCTGTTTCATCTATAATTCTTCCTATTCTTTCTTTATCATTCTTTTTATTTTTAATATAATAATTATTTTCTGTAAATAAAATTAATAATAGTAAATTTATATTTTCATAATTAATGGAAAAAGCTTCTTTAAAAAAAAAGTTTGCTTGTAAAAAATTATTTTCATATAAATAAATTAATCCCATCATTTGATAAAACCATAATTTATCTATTAATTCTTTCTCATGCATTTTTAAAAATACCAAACATTCATTATACATTTTTCCTTCTAGAAGTATTTCACTCATGTATATTAAAAGATCATGTCTTTCATTACTAGTCAAATCATTATCATTGACTAAATCATTTTCTATTTGTTTAATAATTACATAACACTTCTCATAATTTTTTAATAAATGAAATGAAAAAATTAAAATAGCTTTATCTCTAACACTTTTAGCACTATCTTTATACATATCTAATCGTAAATCCTTAAACTGTTCGTATTTTTTTAAATATAATAAAAGTATACATGCCTCTTTTAATGCTTTATAATCATACTTATTTAATTGAATAGCCTTCATAAAACATTTTAAAGACTCATCATAATTTTTATACATTTTGTATAAGCATCCATATAAATACCAACAAAAACTACTAAATAAATTATTTTTGATTCCTTCTTTAATAAATTTAAAAGCTTCTTCTTTATTTTTCTCGTCTAACAAATTTAGTAAATATCCTTTCACAGCTAATGTTTCTCCATTTTTTGGATATTTCTTTAAAATTTGTTCACATATTTTATATGCTTTTTTATGTTTTTTTAACTCTATTAATTGGGTCATTAGTCGGAAATTATTCATTTCCTTATTTGGTAATTTATTATTATCTGTAACTTCCTTTTTCATTTCTCCACTTTTATTTTCCTTTAATATGATAAAAATTAAAATGTTAAAGATATGAGTTACTTTTAAATAAATAGAAATTACTTTAATGTTCTTATATGTACTTTAAATTTCGATTAACAAATTTATTAAATGATAAAATTTATATAGAAGAAATGAAAAAAAAATATATTCTTACAATATTTTGAGTTGAATTAAAGAAAAAAAGTTATAGAAAAAAAGAATCATTGCATCAACAAATTTGAAATGTATTCTAAAAAAAAAATAAATGAAAGAACAAACATTGATATTATAAGATGTAATATAAAAAAAATACTTAATAAAATAAAAAAGTTTAAGTAGAGATGAAAAAAAAAGAAATAAAAAATCAAATCATTAGTAAAAGAAAAATTTTTAATTCAATAAATTAGCAAAAATTATATAAAAATTATAATATAATATATATATATATACAAAGAGCATTAACAAAAAATTAGAGATATAAAATTTTTATAGGAACAAAGAAAATAAATTAGAAGTAGTTATTTGTAAAAAATAAATTTACTTTAAATGCATTTAAAAATTATATCTTTTCTTTATAAATTATCAATCTTTTTATATATTTTTTTTTTTTATTATATTTGTTATTTTTATTATTATATATAAATGTATTGTATTTTTATATTAGTGTATGCTTCTCCCTTTTGTTTATTTATTAAACGCATATATAGATAAATAACATTTTTTTTCTTTTGCATTTTCTTTTTATTTTTCCTTTTCTTTCCTTATATGTTTTTTCCTGTTTATGTTACTATTTTTCATTTTCCATTGTTCTATAGCTTTGTTTTTATAGATCTTTCATTTACTTTTTTTTTTTTTTTTTTCAAACATTTATTATACCTTTTTTTTTTTTTTTTTTTTCCAATTATTTTTGATCAAATCTAAAATTGTTTTTTAATTAAAATTATATAAATTTATAAAAATATTTTTTTAAAATAAATAAATATAGAAAGTTATTTTGTTCATTATTATAAAATATTAAAAAAAATATATATTTATTTTACTAACATGTGATTGAAATCTTTTCATTAACAAAAATATGTATTATTTTCTAAATTCCTCTTGATAAAAACAGAATAAATTAAATTCAAAAGTTTTTCACAATATAAAGAATAAATTGAAGTACAAGGTCCCTTTATCATTTGAATATATTTATTTTTTTAACTATAAATTTTATTTATTCTCATATGAGTATATATAAATTTATTTGTTTTATATTTTAAGATAGAGAAATTTTATATTTTGTAAATTTCAATGTATTGTATATTTTATTTTTTATATAACATGTATGAAATGTAACACACATTTATAGGAATGCATAAATGAAAATACAATTTGTGTGTTATTTTTATAAATATTAAAACTAAAAATTAATAATTAAAAAATATAAAAATGGTAAGTTATCCTACCGTTGATATATTTTTTTTTTAATTAAATTACATTTTTACCTTTTAGTGAATCTTTTTATTATATGAATGTTTTATGTCTGAAATGCTTTTAAACCTTTATGATAATATCAAGAAAAAAACATTATTTTATGTTATTTTACTATATATTTCTCTGATTTTGCCTTACAATTTTTATCACTTAAAAAATAACGTATTTTTTTTGGGGACATCTTATTCATTTAAGTAAAAAAAAAAAAAAATAAATATATATATATATACAAATATAAAAATTTATATATTTTTATTTTTTTTTAAAAGGAATAAATTTAAAATAAATAGCTTAATATAAATTATTCTTTTATTTATATGTTTTTTTTTTTTTTTTTTTTATAGAAAAAAAAAAAGGAATACAATAAAAAATATTAGAATATATAACTCAAAATGTGTATGTGAAAATGTTGATAAAAACTATGATGTTATAGTCATTGGAGGAGGGCATAGTGGATGTGAAGCCAGTTATATAAGTGCTAAATTAAATGCAAAGACTTTGTTAATAACTCAAAATAAAAATAGTATAGGTGAAATGTCTTGTAATCCATCTATAGGTGGAATAGGTAAGGGTATTTTAGTAAAAGAAATTGACGCATTAGGTGGATTAATGGGAAAAGTAATAGATAAAAGTGGGATTCATTTTAAAATTTTGAATTTAAAAAAGGGTTTAGCTGTTAGAGGACATAGGGCACAAGCAGATAGAGATTTATATAATTATTATATGAAAAAATATATTTTAAATACTAAAAATTTATATATTATTGAAAATACTGTACAATCATTATTAATTGAAAATTTTAATGACAAAAAGAAAAGAGTCTATGGAATAAAAAATAAATGTTCTTGTGAGTTTTATGCTTATAGTGTTATTTTAACAACTGGAACATTTTTAGGTGGTATTTGTCATATTGGTAAAGAAAAATACCATGGTGGAAGAATCAAAAGAGTATTCAACTCTCTTGATTGCAATGAATCAAATGTAACAAAAAATTATAAATCAAATAACATTGACCTTAATAGTAAAAATGAAAAAATTCAGTTTACAAAAAATATATGCATTAATAAAAATGTACAGAATTATTCTGAAAAATGTAATGATGAAATAAATAACGGTATTGATTCCATATTTGATAATTTAATAGAATCATCAACCAAAAGTATTGCAAATCAACTCAAAGAATATAATTTTGAAATAAACAGGATGAAAACAGGAACTCCTCCAAGATTAGATATTAATAGCATTAATTTTGATATATTAGATAAAGAAGATACAGAAAAAAAAAACCCTTTTTATTTTTCTTTTTTAAACAGCAATAAAATAAATAATAATAAAACACTACCTTGCTATAAAACATATACAAATGAGAACACACATAATTTAGTAAAAAAATATTTAAATGAATTACCTGATTTTGATAGTTACGATAAATTAGGAAATGGTCCTAGATATTGTCCCTCCATAGCTAAAAAAGTAACAAAATTTGCTGACAAAAAAAAGCATATTATATGGATAGAACCAGAAGGTCTTAATGATACATTAATATATCCAAACGGATTAAGTTCTGCCTTTCCTATACATGTACAGAAAAAAATAGTAAATTCTATAAAAGGTTTAGAAGAAGCAAAGATAATTTTTCCAGCTTATGATGTAGAATACTATTATGTGAATCCTAAATGTTTAAATTACACTTTGGAGACAAAAAATGTTAAGGGATTATTTTTAGCTGGTCAAATTTGTGGGACAACAGGATATGAAGAAGCTGCATGTCAAGGAATTGTTGCAGGAATAAATGCAGCATTAAGTTCATCTAAAAACAAAATGGATACTACGAGCTTTGTATTAAAAAGAAATGATAGCTATATTGGTGTTTTAATACATGATTTAATAAATAAAGGGGTTACAGAACCTTATAGAATGTTTACATCAAGAGCTGAATATAGATTATATTTAAGGCCAGATAATAGTGATATTAGATTAACACCAAAAGCAGACAAATTAGGAATAGTTTCTAAAGAAAGAATTTATATCTTAAATCAAAAATATAATTCTGTTAATAAATTAATTTTTATTTTTAAAAAGTTATTTTTTAATGATATTAAAAAAAAAAAAAACACAAATAGAAATGAAAATACAAGTTTTTGTAGTATCGAGAGTAATAATTCAAATCAAAATGATTGCAAAATGAATTTTTCAACTCAAGATAATTCTAATAATTCTGAGAAAAATATTAAAATAAAATCTTATAAAAAAATTAAAGAAAACGATGAATCTAAGAATGTAATTAATAGTCACAAAAATTCACTTAATAATAATTGTATTGATAATATAGTTATTCATAATGATAGTATAAAAGATACTAGAGATGGATTAATTCATTCAAATGATAATATTAATTTCACGTTAGAACATGATAAAAAAAATATGAAAAGTTTATATAATATTCTAAAAAGTGGGGTAGAATATCCCTTAGACGTCCTATTGCACAAATTAAAAGATATGGAAAATTTGAGTCAATTTAAAAGCATGTTATCAAATGATGAAAATCATTTAAATATTTACATGGATAAATATAATTTCGATACATCTCTTCTAAAATGTGAAAACATTTTAATAAATTTAACGACGTTAGAAACTGCTTGTGCAGAAGTTAAATATTCTCCTTATTTAAAGAAACAGATTCAAGAAATAAATAAAATAAAAGATAATTTTAACTTAATTATACCTTCTTATATAAAATATAATAGGTAACATTTAATTAAAATTTATATATAAAATATGTTTATAAACATACAAAAGTGTATATATTTTTATGAGTCTACATATTAAAATAACTATATATATATATTTGCTATTTTATAAATATTTATATATATATTAACTTATATATTTATGTTATATTTTTTTAGGGATAACTTTCCATATTTATCAAATGAAGAAATTGAAAAATTGAATAAATTTAAACCTCAAACATTATATGATGCTAATAAAATTGAAGGTGTAACTATGAGTGCTATTTATTATTTATATTATTACATAAAAAGTGAAAAAAATAAATGAAACAAAAATAAATATATAGCTTTTTCTTCTTAATTTTTTATTTTTTAATGCTGAGCTTTTAACTGTGTAAATTACAAATTTTTTCTCATTTTTCATAACATTCTGTACTCTTTATTTTTGTGCCATATTTTTTTTTAATGTATTTTTTTAATTTTGCATTTCTTAATATATTTTCTAGAAAATATTTCTCATTATATCCTGCATGATATAATAAAATTTAAAAATGAAAAATCTTACACATTTTAATGAACTTTATTTTTTTTTTATTATTATTATATATCTTTTTATATATATCAATTTTTTAGTTTTTTATTTACACAATATGTTAAATAAATATATATATGTTTAAATTTTTTGTTTATTATTAAAAATGTCTTTTTATTTTTTCCATTTTTTTTTAAAAAAAATTTCACAATTTTTTAAATATAATTTTTTTTTTTTTTTTTGTGTTTAACATGTGACAATATATATAGCAGTCATTGAAATTTATATATATCTTTTATGGCATTTTTTTTTTTTTTTTTTTTTTTTTATAATTAAAAACTAGAAAAAAGAGAAAGAAAAAACTAATGCTACATATTTAAAATAATTATATAATAATGAATGATTTCTTCTATAATAGAAGAAAATAAAAACAGAAGCAAATTAAATTTAAGTTTTTATTTTTCCTTCTAGACAAATTCAATAATAACAGTAAAAAGTTTAAGATAAAAAATGATAAGCTGCTATAACGAATCAAGAATTGTAAACATGTGTAACAATGTAAAAAAAAATTATGCTATTAAATGCTTATCTAAGAAATAATAATAAATAAATTTTTTATTATTGAATGAAAGAAGAAAAAAAAAAGAGAGAGGTTGTTAGGATAAAAAAAAACTTTTATGTAAGATTTTTTTTATAATATTAATAAAGTACAAAAAAAAAAAAAATAAATTATTTTCCATATTCTCATTTTTTTATTATCGTGAGTTTTCAAATATTTATTATTATATATATGTAAATAAAAAAAAAAAATATAATAATAAGTGTAATAAGAAATTAAATTTACACATTTTTATCTTTTCTTTCCTTTTATTCTCTTTTTTTTCTTTAATTAAAAGCCATGAAATTTTAAATTTCAGACTATTATTATGCTTTAATATTTCATAACATATATTTAATTATTATCTCTACATATAACATATATATCTATATATAAAAAAATAATATTTTTTTAAAATAATGTATTAATTATATTTTTAAAGTGAGATATTCATAAAAAATCTAGATTCTATTAGATAAAACATTATTTGTCTTTTAAGTAATACAGAAAAAAAAAAAAAAAAAAAAAAGAAAAAACCATAATGTTCGATAAATTTAAAGGTATTATTAATATAAATAAAGGTAACATAGAAAAAGAAGAACCAAAAAATGTTGAGGTAAACGAAAATCAAGATTCTAATGCACCATCACCTGATGAAACCCCAGCTGGGGAAGCTGATGAAAAAACATTTTTTGATGAAATGCTAGGGGCACCTCAATATACTTATGATGAGTTTTTGGAAGTTCTAAGAGCCCCACAAGAAGAAAGAGGAGATACAGAAGATGCAAAAAAGCATTGGGGATATCCTAGAAGATGGAAAGTTATATTGTGGGATTTACAAATTCAAAATTATATGAATAATGATTTTAATGCTTTTGTAGATTTTGATTTTGGTGGTAATAGAGAAGAATGTAGGATACAAGTAAGTTTTATAAACAAAAAAACAAATTATATTTTATACGTCTTTTATCATTTTTTATAAAACATTTCTTCATAATTTTTTTTAATATTTTTATCACATAGAGAGGAACGACTATGAAAATATATGCAAAAGGAAAAACAAAAAACAGCCTTAGAACTCATGTTGTTTCTAATGTTGCAGCAGAACAAAAAAAAAGTATGAATTTCAGAAATGTTTTTGAATATAGAGGTTCTTATTTAGATTTAGAAAATGAGAAATTAAGAATAAAAGTATGGGAATACAAACAATTTACATTAAATAAATTAGAAGGAATATATGAAGAACCATTGCTATCTTTTGCTGTTGGAGAAGTATATAATGAAACAACTCTATATAAATTTATAAAGAATTCAAGAGTTAAACGTTGTCGTTTATTTTTTCAGTTATATTTTCAAGAATTATATGATTTTGAACTATCTTTTTTAAATTGGTCTTTTAGTGATTTATTGTCTTCTGCATGTATGCAGGCTAAAAGCTTGAATTATCTTGGGGATCCAAATAAAATAAAAAAAAGATATATAGATGATGGGAAATGTAGAATTTTCCCATCAGTGTGTAAAAATGTAACGAAATTAAAAAATAAAAATAAGTTTGGTAAAAATATGGCTGACAAAAATAAGAACCCAAATTTTTCTTTTAATACTGCAGCTTCAGAGGATTCAAATGATAGTGAAAAAAATGATGAAACTACAAAAAACTTAGAAAAACTGTTTTTTCGAAATTTGAGCTTAATGCAAAATATAGAAGAAAATGAGGAGATATCCTATAAAAATTTAGAAAATGTGAAATTGCCTAATCCTAGGGTAACAATTACATTAACACATACGCCAAAAGGTCATGAGGGGTTAAGTTTAGTATCAATAGAACAAAAAAATATTGATTTTCCTATATGGGAAAATTTAGGAGAAATGTATTTTAGAGGAACACTAAGAGATCTTGATGTTTCCTATTTGAATGTAAATATGTATTTTAAAAAATTTTTATTTAAACATATGAAATATAAATAATAATAATTTTATTTATACATATGTTCATATAGTTTTTATATGCACACGATTTTTTTTTTTTTTTTTTTTTTATTTATTTTGTATACAATAATTATATGTATATACATATAATTACATTTTTATTCTTTTCCTTTTTCATAAATATATTATTCTCCATACTTCTTTTAAGATTAAAGTAGAAGATATGTCAGCTCCTAAGCCAATTAGAGAAATTGGAATTTGTCAGATACCTTTAAAAGGAATTGTTGATTACCCGTATGTTATGCATGAATTAGAAGCACCTTCATGGCTTATTGAAGAAGCAAAATATGAAGGTTGGGAAAAAAAACTAGAAGAATGGAAACTGGGGACTTTAGAGGGAAAAGTTGTGATTGCAAGAGTACCTAGGTACAGGCAAATAGGAGATATTTATCATATAGATCATAGAAATTATTATTTAATTGTTCATATATTAAATATAGATCAAATTGTTACTATAGATAATATTAAAGAATTAGATAGTTATGTAGAGGTTTCTTTTGATGAAACTAGTAGAAGAACTAGATTAATAAAGAAAACATTGATCCCTAATTACGACAGTCTCATTTCTATACCATTAAGATTTAATAATAAAAATGAAATAAATTACCAAAATTTTAGTAAAAAAGGACGTATATATATAGATGTATGGGGTAAAACAGAAGACATTATATATATTGGTGGAACTTCCATAAATCCATATGAAATTTTTTTTAATGAAAAAAATTTAAAAAGAAGTACAACTAAATTAGAACATATAGATTTAGAAACTAATGTAAAAACAAATTATGATACAATTGTTTTTAAAGGATGCAAAAAATTGTCATTTCTGCATGATGATCAAAGGATGTCAAACATTCACTTTAGTATATGGACTTATCCAGATATAATAGGTAATGATAATGATAAAATACGTGCACCACCAGTTTTTAATACTACCATGAATTTTCCAATAAAATTAGCACAAAAATATGAGAAATTAAAAAAATTATATTTAGAAGTATTAAAAACAATAAAAGCCATACCGGAAAGTTGCACTGACATTTCAACTTCTAAAAGATTTTTTAATTATGAATTATGTAATCAAAGAAAAGAATATCATTTTTTGCCTACATTAATAACTAATATAAAATCTCCATACTGTGCTGAATCAACTAACGGAATATTTCATTATATGCGGTGTATACCTTTTATTCATAAAAAAGAAAATTTAGCATTTACACCTGATTTTACTTTGCAATTAAAAGGAGGAAATGCCTTAGATCACAGTTTATTATTATGTAGTTTGTTTTTAGGTATACCAGTTATTTCTTTTGTATGTTTTGGAACTTTATGGGATAATCAAAAACATTCATGGGTTGGAACTTTTGAATTTAATGAAGAAAAAAATTATGGTGTTGTAAAATTTTGGGAGACAACAACTGGTAACGTTTATTTCTTAAAAAAAAGATTTGTAGATATAAATAAACTCAAAAGTATAGAAATAAAATTAAGTGAAACAAAATATAAATCACATTTAAGAGATGGATTTTTACAGAGAAACAATGAAAATAATGCAAGTATGAGTAATATTAAAGAAGAAACAAAAAGGCATATTAAGCAACTATTTAAAAATAGGCAAGCAGATATACCCATAGGTGGACCATCGTTGCCTTATAAGACTATAGATCTTATATTTAATAACAAAAATATATATTTAAATTTGCAAGATCCTAATCCATTAAATATTTGGTATGATTATTGGAGATTTGATTTTTGGTTTCCTTTTTCTTCTATTGAATACAATATACAACCTTGTTTTACTATAAAAAGTTTTAGTCATAAAATTGAAGATATGGAATTAGATAGAATTGCAAAAGAGCTTAGAAATAATATTGAAAAAAATATTACCATTTTTAGAGCCTCAAGGAATTTATCTACTCGTTGGAATCGTGATGAAACTTTAGAATTATTTTTACAGGTTGGTTTAGAACTACTTCACCAATTAAATACTTCAAGGAATGAAGATGCATTGTTAGCAAAAGTAAAAATTGAAGATTGGAAGAAAGCTTTATATTATAAAGTACCTCAAAGTCATAGATTATTAGGATTTCCTTACCATTTTAATACACATAAATCTAAATTTATTTCTGACAAACTCATAAGTACTTTAGCTATTCTAGAATCTAGAGATAGATCATTATGTCTTTCTTTAGCTGTTTGTTTATATAGTCTTCCAGGAGGTTTTATATCTGTGTACATTTATATAATAACTTGTGTTAAAATAACACAGAGAGAATTAAAAAAAATGGAAATTATCAAAGAGAAGGTTCAAATTTATGTATATATATTTTTATTCATCTTAATATGTAAAAAAAATTTTATATCAATATTAAAAATTAAAAAAAAACATATATATAGATTTATAAAAAGTTGCATATTTATGAATATCTTATGGGCACTTTTATATATTACGACGTTTCATGAAATTTATTCTTTTATATGCTTATAACATTATTTGTTTAAATTTATACATTTTTTTTTTTTTTTTTTTTTTTAATATTAAATTTAAAAGGCACAAAGAAAAGCTGAGATTAAAAATTCAAAGAAAAAAAAAGAAATAGAACTTCCTCAAAATTTAGATGTTAAAAATATTGAAGAGATAGACAAAAAAGATGACCAAATTTTAAACCCTTTTGAAGATATTCTAAAATATGATATATTTAAAACAGAAAATGATAACGATAAACAAGAAAAGGATAAAGAAGGAGAAATAGGAGAAAAAGAAAAAATAGAAAAAGATAAAGAAAAAAAAAAATTTAGGCATAAAAATAATTCAGAAGAGAAAGGTATGAATAATAATTCCTCACAAAAAGATAATGAAAACTCTAAAAATAATAAACTTAGAAAAGCTGTAGATTTAGTTAATTTGGTGCAAAAATTGAACAAAAGAGACACTTCTAATAATGAAGATAAAGAAATTATGGGTGATCATAAAGAAGATAATGCCTTAAAAATAACTAATAATTTGAACAAGAAGGTTTCAATAAATGATGAAAAATATATAGATGAAATTAAGAATGAGGTTGAAGGTACTATAAATTCACTAAATGAAGTAGGCAAAAAATTTGAAAAACAGGAGCTTACAAAAAGTATAAGTCTTAAAAAAGATTCTCAAAAATTAGGTAGTAAAGATATGAAAGAAGAAAAAGAGATCCTCAAAGAGAAAAAAAAAAGTAAAGCAAATAAAAAGAAAAAAAAAGAATTAGAGTGTGAATATTCAAGTATATCAAAAAACTATTTTGAAGAAGAAAAAAAAAAATTACAAGAAGATATTGAAAAATTGGAAAAAGAAAAAGAAGAATTTAAAAGACAAAAAATTCTTCGAGAAGAAAAAGAAAGACAAATGCTTTTAGAAGAAAAGTTAAAGTTGCAAAAAGAAAGAGAATTATTTGAAAATGAGAGATTGGAAAGACAATTGTCACTTATTTTAAAGAAAAATGAATGGAAAAAAAAAGAAGAAGAAATAAGAAGTAAAGAAGAGGAAAGATATAAAAAAATGGTTGAAAGGGAGGAAATAAAAAAAGAAAATGATGAAAAAAAAAGAAATAAGAAAAGAGAAAAAGAAAGAGAGAGAGAAAAAGGAGAGAGGGAAAAAGAAAGAGAAAAAGAAAGAGAAAAAAAAAGAGAGAAAGAAAAAGAAAAAGAGAAAGAAAAAGAAAGAGAGAAAGAAAAAGAAAAAGAAAAAGAAAGAGAGAGAAAAAAAGAAAGAGAAAAAGAAAAAGAAAAAGAAAAAGAAAGAGAGAAAGAGAAAGAAAAAGAAAGAGAGAAAGAAAAAGAAAAGGAAAGAGAAATAGAAAGGAAAAGACAAAAAGAAAATGAACTACGGAAAAAATATATAGATACAAATGAACATGAGAATATAAGTAGTTTTGACGAAAAATTAGATTTGAATCAAATATGTTCAAGAAATTCAAGTAAAAAGAATATTTTTTTTTATATTTATTTTTAAAACTGAATTATAAATAAAAATATTTTATTAATATATATATTATTAATGAAAAATTATATGTAGTTATACCTCTCTTTTTAATTTTTTTAAATTTAGATAGTGAAAGTGAAAAAAAAAAAAAAACAATAAAAATACATTATAATCGAAAGGAATATAGTGGTAATTAAATAATATATGCATATGCACATTCGTCAATAATCAAAAAAAAGTATCTGATTAGCTATTAAGAAAGATATAGAATTAAAAAAATTATGACTTGGAGTATATAATATTGCTCATAAAAAAAAATATTTATTATTTCAATTTAAAAACAACATAAAATTTTAAATATATATATTTATATAAATTTACAATTTCTTAATTTTTTTTTTTTTTTTTTTTTTAGTAAATAGCTCCAGTTTTACAGAAGATAAACATGTAAATATAAATGATGATTTAAAAGAAGGAAATATAGCCAGGTATTTGTATTATAAAACAAAAAATGAAAATATTGGTATACGAAATTATGGTTATGATGAACCTTATTATGGTAAAGATATGAAAAATGTGTCATACAATGAAATGAAAAAAAGCGATTTATTTAAAGGGTTTGCTGTTCCTTCAAAAAAAAAAAAAATTTTAATAGTAAAGAAACAATAAATAAAAGAGAAAACTATATAAAACTCATTGTTATAATATTCTAAAAACTTTTTTAATACTTTAGATTTTATTTTTTTCATATTAATTTGAAATACATTATTTTTATTAGTATGTATATATTTATATATATTTATTTAAATAAATGTTCATTAATGATGGAAAATTTTTAATATTATTTATTATTTTTTTAGTATAACTATTATTGTTTTGTTAGCTACAATTGTATATATATTTATTTTCATGTATAATCTTCTTTATAATTTATATAAACTGTTTTGTAGTTTGTTATTTAAACTCTTGAACTTCGTATTCAGTGTTTCTTTGTCATATATACACGTTAAACTTATTTTTAATTTTTATTAGATAAATTGTTTTTTTTTTTTTTTCTTTTTTTTTTTAAAGTGAATAATTAATATTTTAAATATTTTCGTTTTATATCTTATTTTTTTTGTTTTCTATGTAATAAAAATTAGAAATATTTTTTCAATATTTTTTTTTCGTTTTAAGAGAAAAAAAAAGTTGCAAATAAAAGCATTTTTTTTTTTTTTTTTTTTTTTTTTTTTTAAANNCATTTTTTTTTTTTTTTTTTTTTTTCTTTTTTTACATATTAGAAATGGTGGTACAATATAAACTTAATTCTTCTTATTTTTTATATTTTAACCTCTCATTTTTTATTAGGTATAAGAAACTTTGATATATTTAAATTTTAATTTTAAATTTTTATATTTTTCATAATTTTTGTCTATTTTTTTTTTTTTTTTTTTTTTTTCTATAAACTTATTTTACTTGTTTAGTATTCTTTATAATGTTATTTTAAGAAAACTAAGTTGTTTAAATTATTTTTAAATGATAACATTATTAAACTATAAAAATAAATTCTGAAACGGAGTTAATCATTTTTTTATTTATTTATGAAGGAAAAAATGATACTTTAAAAATTAGTATTAATTCCTTTGAAAACATAAGTTATTTTTTAATATATTTTAGTTTGACAAAAATTATAATTAGAGAAAATGAGTACTTTTACTAATCTAATTTGTTATTGACATTATTATGAGTTATGAAAAGTGTTTTCTTATTTTATATATAACTAATTTCTAATTAAAAATTTAATAATCAAGGTATGTAATTTAAAAAGGATTAATTTCTTCTTTACCTGAATGTTCTAATAAGTGTGAGAGGTTAAGAAACAGAGTATAAAAAGATTAATTTTATATTTACTTTTGTAAAATATGAAAATTAAAAGATTTAAGAAAAAAAAATAAGTAAACTGTTATGTTTTCAGTAAATGAAAACTTATAATTAAGTGGTAAATATACTTTTCTTTATTTTAAAAATTATATATAGTTTTATTATAATTTTAGTTTATTTTAATTATTGGAGATATGTAAATTTTCCTTATCTTTTTATTAAAAACAAGGATGATATTTTTTTTTCTAGAATATAAGTATATATGGGTAAAAATAAGCATCTGTAAAATGTATAATGCTACATTATTTTATAATTCTTTTTAGCTTCTACGTATGTAATCAAATAAAATAAAAAGAATTTTTAAAAACAAATGAAAAAATAAAAATATATTTCTTCTGATATTTCCGAATTTTTTAAAAAATAGCAAAACACTATATATCTTAAGTTTAAAAAAAAGAAATGTTGAATGTTAAATATAAGTATATGAATTTATATTAGCTTCATGCTAATAGTTAAAAAAAAAAAAAAAAAAAAAGAAAAAAGAAAAATAAATTTTCTTTAATATAAAAAAAAAAAAAAATTTCTTAAAAGGATGAAAAGATAATTTAAAATTAAAAAAATAATAAAAAAAAATTGAGGAAAATTTGAAATTAAAAAAACAAGTTTAGTGAATAAAAAAGAAAAAGTATAAACTAAAAAAAAAAAAAAATAAGAAAAAAAATAGAAGATATGAAAAGAATATAAGCATATAATTAAAGTTACAAAAAGAAAAATAATATAACTGAATGTTAATATTATTAAAAGTTATTGATAATATGCTGAATACTATATTATATAAAAAAATTAAATTAACAGATGATGTAGTGAAAAAATTTGAAGTAATAAGAGCGTTTAAATATAAACAATCTTTAACAAAAAATTTAGCATGGAGTTATTATGGAGAATTATTACTAACTTCGAATGAAAATGATTCATTAACAATTTATAGCTTATCTAAAGGAAATAGCTTAAAAACATTACATAGTAAAAATTGTGGTGTTGATGTTATTAGATTTTTGAATAATAGTAATGATGTAATTGTTTGCTCAACCAGATCTAGTAATTTAGAACACAAACAATTTCTTAGATTTTGGGATATAAAAGAAAATAAATACTTAAAATCATTACCACAAATTGGGAATATATGTGAATTAAATGGTATTTGTGTTAATCAAAATAAAAAATTAATGTTAGTTAATTCTGATGATGGTCATGTAAAATTATATTATATTAATTGTGATACTCCTTTAGTTTTATATAAATCTGATTTTATGAGACCTGTTTCCTGTTTTGATAATGAAGGAGTCATATTTGCTGCATCTTTTGGTAAACAAGAAATTCATTTTTATGATTTGTTAATGTATGACAGTGGTGAATACAACATTTTTAATTTAAAAAGTAATATGGATAAAAATGAATTTATCACAAACCTCTTATTTACTCCAAATAATAAATTTATAATTATTTCTACTAATGAAAATAAACATTTTAAAATTGATTCTATTACTGGACAATATATATGTTCATATAATTATCCTACATATCAGGAAAATGATAATTATTTTGACATAAATAATAATTTAAGCAATGAAAAAAATAATATTTCAAATTCTACTATTAATTTTTGTAATCAATCAAATCATATTAAAAATAACAATTTAAATTATAATTTTGAATATTCAGAAAATGACTTTTTTCTTCCAACTATTACACCTGATGGACAATACATTATGTGTGGTAAGAAAGTTTTCAATAAAATATTTATATGTTCATTTGTATTATATAAAAAATGTAAATCAAAAATTAAAATAAAATAAACAAAAATATATCATTAATAAATTCAGATTAAAAAAAATTAATATAAGAAAATAATTTTTCATACATAATAAATTTAATTTTTTATTTTATTCAATTATTATATACATTTTTTTTTTTTTTTTTTTTGCTCATGTGACATTATTTTTTTTTTTATATTTAAAGGTTGGAAAGATTCAGGTATTCATGTTTGGAATGAAAACGGAAATTATATAACTTCTTTATATGGACATGAAGGTAAATTAAAAGTGAATTTTTTATATATTCTAAAATATATAATTTTTATTTTAACAGTTTATAAAATTCCCATTATATATAAGGAAAAAATAAAATAAATAATAAATTTATACTTCAGGACCCCCAAAGAATGTAAACTTCAATCCAAAATGCTCTATATTAGCTTCAAGTAAAAGAATGAAAAAAAAAAAAAAAATAAATAAATAAATAATTCAGAAGTAATTGTATTATATAATTTTAATAAAATTTTAATGTTTGTGATTTTACATTATTTATAGGCTGCTTAAATGTAGCTTTGTGGCAACCATCTTTGTAACTTCATTACTATGAGTAACTCAATAGGTTTATATATTTCATTCATTTTTAAGGTTACAAATATGTGGAGATTAATAAAATAGAATTATTGTATAAAATTCGCAATATAAATAGAAAATTATCACATTATTTACCAAATAGAAAAAATATATTATTTGAAATATTTATCATTTGATTTTTACAAAAATCTACCTTTTTATATTATAAAAAACTTTCTCATTTTGTATTTAAATACATCATTTGTATATTTTATTAATAGTAAGTTACTAATTATTTTAAATTCTTTCATTATTAAGATTTACTTATAAAGAATGAAATATATCAAGGATAATCTTAAAATAAACAATATGAAGTAAAAACCAATTTTTCATTTTATTTTTTCGTAAACATTGTCTATTTAATTTATAATTCATATATCTATTTGTGGATTTGTTTCCTTTTAAGATAAATTTTATTGAATTGTATTATTTGTTTTTTTTTATTAAATATAATTTTATTTTTGTTATATTGACCATATTTCTTTTAACTGTTTAATTAAAAAAAATATATGTGAATACTATGTAATAAGATTAAAATAGAATTATTGTAAGTTTTAACATCTTTCAATCATGTATTTAGGATGTTATTTTATTTTTTTTTTTTATTATACATATTCTTTTTATTTATTTTTTTATTCATAATTATATATTTATATAGAGTTATTTAATATCAAAATTAATCATTTTTAGCTGCTTATTTTAAATATTTATATTCTAAAGCCTTTATCTAATTTAGAATAAAATATTTATATATATTTTTATTTTTTTTTCATTTAATTTTTTTCTATATCTTTGCTAATGCATATTGAACTAAATCAAAGATTGCCTAGCATATTAATAATATATATTTTTTTTTGATTCACTTTAACTGAATCGACGAATAAGAAGTTAACTTACTATTCTTGTATTTAATTTTTTTTTTTTAAAAAATAATTTTCATTATGTCCTCTTTTAGGTTTCCATTTATTTAATGTTTACTTTTTTTTTTCTTTTTTCTTCTTATTTTTTCACCTTCATTTCCACCAATTGTTGTATCAAAATATTTTTTGGCATTTTCATTTTCTATAGTATTATGATTTTTTTGATCATTTTCGTCTTTATCACAATTATCATTTTTTTTATCAATTTTGTCTTCTTTTTCAACATAATCATTTTTGATACCATTTTTATTACTTTTTTCATCTTTACCATTATTATCATTTTTTTTATCAATTTTGTCCTTTTTTTCAACATAATCATTTTTTGTATCATTTTCATTACTTTTTTCATCTTTACCATTATTATCATTTTTTTTATCAATTTTATCTTCTTTTTCAACATAATCATTTTTTGTATCATTTTCATTACTTTTTTCATCTTTATCATTATTATCATTTTTTTTATCAATTTTGTCTTCTTTTACAACATAATTATTTTTTGCCTCATTTTCATTACTTTTTTCATCTTTACCATTATTATCATTTTTTTTATCAATTTTTTCTTCTTTTTCAACATAATCATTTTTTGTATCATTTTCATTACATTTTTCATCTTTACCATTAATATCATTTTCATGATCTTTTTCATCATAATCGTTTTTTTTATCACTTTTATTTTCACAATATAATTTTTTTTCATTTTCTTTATTCTGGTCTATTGATATATTTGTATTTTCATGGTTAGTTTCATTAGGGTAATCATTAATTAACCAATGTATAAAAGCCTCAACCTTTTTACTGCAATTTTGATCATTTTTTATACTTTCTAATTTGTTTGTAATTTCCATACTGTCTATATTTTTATCAAAATTAAACATACAATTATCAATTTTGTTATATAATACTTTATTTGATTCTTCAACAGACTTTTTTACATTTTTAAGAAACATTTCTTTATTATTATTAAATAAAAAATATGCTTCTTCATTTTCAATTATTTCTTTTGAATATTCATCTTGCAAATAAAAAATGCTTTTTATATATAAAAATATTAAGGACATATAATGAGATGTAGGATTCCAATTATTTAAATTCAAACCCAAGTTTAATTTTCCTGTCATGGGATTAATTAATGGGTGATAAACAGGCGTTAAAAAATATACTTCTGGAATAGAATGAGGATAATTTTCACCTAAGCGAATTTGTAATTTAAATTTTCCATTTTTATAAAATGTACTATATAAAATAATAAATACGTCCCACACTAGTAAGTTATCAGGTTGTGGAAGGCAATAAAAACTTTTAGGAATTTCATTCATAAGGAATGAATATTCTGTTAATATTGAGTAATTATGTACATTTTTATGAATTTCACTTAAATAACCATCAATAATTTCTTGATCAAACGTTGAGTGAGCTAAAAGTTCAGGGTTTAATGGTATTATTGTTCTTCCTATTCTCTGGGTAATTAATTCATATTCTTTATTATCAAATCTAATATCATCAATATTATCTAGGTTACTTTCATAAATATTTTTATTGTTAGAATCATTATTTTCATTATCTACATATTTAGGAAAATAAGCAAACGTTTTTCCTACCAGCAATTTGCTTACTCCTTCTTCCTCTGCAATTCTTTCATTATCATACCACATTATATAATATTCTTATCCAAATTAGATTAATTCATTAAATTAACTTATTATAGAACACTATTATCTTATAAATTAAGTGTTTTTCTTCTTTTTATATGTACAATTATTCTCATAAAGTCCTATATATTAAGAAAGTTTCGCTCTCTTGTTTTAAATTTACAATTTAAAGTTATATCATAATGTTGTTATATAATGTTTCTTAAACATAAATCACATTTTTAAAATATGAATAAAAGAGTTTCCTATAAATTTCAAAGCTCTCTATAAATATAAGTTATATAGGTCTTCAGAGTAAAAAAAAAAAAAAAATTATCATGTTTTGAAATTCTTATATAATAGAATCAGTTTCTAATGAATTTATGTAAAATTTTACATTTAATGTTTCAAAAAGTTAATTTTTTTGCACCTTATCCTTAAGTTAAAATGAAATTTTTGTGTGCACACAAAAAAAAAAAAAAAAAAAAAAAAAAAAAAAATAATAAAATAAAATGTTATTAAGTACAATAAAAATAAAATGTTAACAATAAAATTTTCATTAATTTTTTATAATTTATAATAAAAATTATAAGAATATTAAAATAATAAGAAAATATTGAGCTTTAAGATATCCATTTATTTAATGGCAAAAATATCTTTAAAAACTTTTTCTACACTATACTATATAGTTTTGATGAATCACTTTGCATTTATAATAGAAAAATTTTGGATGATACTGTATAATTTTACATTAATATTTCTTCATTTTTAATTAATTGTTATAATATAATTAGAATTATTTAATAAAAATCAATGTATTTTTAATGTTACAATAATACATTAGGTACTAAAGTTTTTAATTATATTCTTTTTCAATATCAAAAAATTTATATTGTGTTAACGAAAATTTTTAAATCTCTTACATAATTAAATATATTTATTGATATGTGAGGTGTAAAATTTTAAATTAAAAAAAAAGATAAAAAATTTTACAATTTTTTGTTCTGATGAAAATATATGGACTATTAAATATGCACAAAAATTGGTTATATCTAAATTATATTAAAAGTAGTATATATTTTAATTTTAAAAGTAGTAAATATTTTTATTAATGAAATAATTATCTAGAAGAAACCCTTGCCATATATACTTTAATAAAAAAAATGAGTAAATTAAAAAAATAAATATCCAAAATCTACTGTGCATTTTAAAAATTTCTCAATTTAAAAAACTCTCATTTTCATTTAAAACACAAATACTCGTTTTTTCAAAAGAACGATTAATTTTTTTCATGATAATATAATCTTCGTAATTCTTCACTTTTACACATGTTTCTTAATTAAAAATAAAGAGTTATATTACTTGTCGTTCTTTTATTTATGTTGTTATATTAATGAATAGATGAATGCATATGAAAATGTCAAAAAAAAAAAAAAAAAAGGAAAAAAATTAAATGTAAATGTAAATAAATAAAAACATATGTGAATAATTTATTTGTAAATTACATATATACATTTAAAGATTAAGTTAATTCATTATTATATTTTATTATTTATTGTAGATGAAATTGTATTCATCATTTCCATCTATTTTTGCATACACATGTTTAAAATAATTTGTTTTGTATACAATTTATATAAAATGAATATGTAATTGTTTTATGCAATAAATAGGAAAAAAAAAAAAAAAAATGTTTGCATCTAAAAGTTTTAGCAAATTAACATAATAAAAAACTATTTTAATTATTAAAAAAACATATATTGCAATTGTAATTATATAAACAATTTTTAGGCATATTAGACCTTTATAAATGTTAATGCCTTATTTGTTTCTTTTTTTTTTCCCAAAGTTTTATAGTTATATGTTTAAACAATAAAATTTATAGTGTATATTTTTTTTTTATTTTTTTTTTTTTTTGTAAATATGTATATATATATATATATATAAATTGATGAATAAAATAAACTTAAGCACCATGTATACGTATGTGCTCAACTGCGCAAATTCCTTCTCTTATTAAAAAATCTTTAACATTATTTCTTTTGTCTCCTTGTAGTTGAATTATTGAACCATGCTCAATATCTTCTATAATTGTTCCATTACAATTAAATTCCTATTAAATTATTATACATAAAAATTAAATATATTAATTTAAAAAAAATTTAATTTTACTTATTTTGTTTAACTTTTTTAAAATTTTGTATATACCTTTTTTAAGGCTCTGACCATCTTTTTCAAATCATATGCTTTTCCTAAACCTTGTACAGTAGTGACACTTTTTCTACCATTTCTTTGTTGATTTCTAATATCTATAATAAAAAATAATTAATTCATAAAATTATAATTCTGTGATATATGGAATTAAATTACTTTGTATGAAAAATAAATACTAAATTTTATATTAGCATTTTACAAATTAAAAATAAAAGTGAAAATGAAAAATTAAAAAAAAAATTAAATAACAAATTTAAAAGGAATCTAGTATTTATAAATAAAAAAGTAATAATAAGGAAAAAATATATGCTCATATATATAAATATACATTAAAAATTATAATATAAAATTCAGCTATTAATAAGTAAATTGCTTTTAAAGAAGTATTAGTAGAAAAAAGAAAAATATATTGATATAACATTTTATATATTTAAATATTAAAATGTAATAATGTAAAAGCATAAAGTCGTGCTTACGTATTAAATTCGTCGTATTGGATTTACCATTCCCCTTATCGACAATATTTTCATTTGTAAAGGGGTCATTAATACCAAGATTCTGTATAGCGAGGTTCATCAAGATTTAATAAGACGAATTATAAATAAAATTTGTTTAAAAATTAAAAATAAGATAATAAATGGGCAAAAAAATTGAAGTATAAATATATATATATGAATATATAAGGTTTCCTTTTTCTAATTTAAAAAAAAAAAAAAAAAAAAAAAAAAAAAAAAAAAAAAAAAAAAAAAAAAAAAAATATAAATATAAAAGTAAAAGTAAAAATTATGAAGAATTGTAAAAAAAAAAAAAAAAAAAATAATTTAATTTCAACGGATGACCATAAAAAAATATTTTTTATATAAATTACATAAATTTTATATAATTTTTTTTTTAATTTTATATGTATTTACTATTATTTTTTTAAATTCGTATGTATTTACGAATTTTTTTTTTTTTTTTTTTAAATAAAAAAGTTTTGCATGCTCAAAGGTCGATAAAAAAAAATGCTAATATACTGGTAATTAACTATAGCGTGGCGCAAATTGGAATTAATACGAAAATGCAAAACGGTTAATTTTTATGAAAAAATAGCAAAAAATAAGAAAAAAAAAAAAAAATGAACTTATTTATATATATATATATAGTATATACATATATTTGTACATATATATTTTCAAAAAATTAATTAACATGTTTATAAAAATATTTTTTTATTCATAATTTTAAAAATTAAGGCATTCTCGATGCAAAAAATTGCACAGCTATTTTTTTTGTTTGTATATAATGTATGTAATAAACTTGCACACAATATAAGAAAAATATAAAAAATGAATTTTTATTTAAATTCTAAATATTCGTTTTTCTTTATATATCTACAACAATTAAAAAATTAATAAAACAAATGAAATTTAATATTTTATTTTTTTTAAAAAATGTTTCATAAAAAGGAAGTTAAAAATTTTCATATTTTTACAAGCAACTAAGAAATATACATAAACTTTTAAGAGAGTTTACTGGGAAAATAAATAATTTATCTAAATTATTGAGGAAAGTTTAAATTATTTTAAAATATAAATATATATATATATATATAATTAAAATAACATCCTTTTTAATAAATAAAAATTAAGTATAATATCGTTGATATATATACTTAAAAGACGTAATTTTATTCCAATTTAAAAATTACCTAAATTTTCTGATATACCATAATTTATATTATTTTTGTTTAATGAGAGGTTTTTTATTATTATATATGAGTCAAACACTACATTATAATGTCTTTATATATATATATATATATTAATATTAATTTGATATAATTTTTTATATATAAATATGTACAGAAATGTTAACAGTTTTTGTATTGATAGAATGTTAATATAATTTGCATTAAAAAACAGATATTTGTTTTTTATATAAAAAATAGGTAGAGTTATATGCATAGTAGAACATGAGAAACAATGAAATGATATGAATGCATGAAACTCTTACCATTAAATACATAAAAACTATTATTTTTATAAAAGTCACTTCTCGTTAATGTACAAAGCATATCACATTTACTTTATGCTAAAATACAAAGGGAGAATGCAAATAGTACTATAGTTATTTTTATAAAAATTTCTTGATTTTTTCTTCATTTAAAAGTTGAGTATTGTTTTAAAATTTAAGAGAAATTTTCTTTTGTCTACTTTTCATAAACTGGAAATAAAATGTTATTAATTTCCCACACTTACAAGTTTCAACTTTAAATATACTAATATCAAAATATATAAATAATTCAACGTTTCAATATATTTTAATTTCAATTTATTATCATTTCATTATCTTACATTTCATTATTTTAATTTTTAAATATATTTATATTTATCATTTTAATATTTGAGTTGCATAATGTAACAATACAAAAATACCTTGAGAATTAAATAATTTAAGAATCAAATTCTTTTTAAAAAAGAAGATAAATTTATATATTAAAAAAAAAAATTATAATATTTTAAGTTTAAGAAGAACACTTAATAAATAAATAAATGAATTAAAATTATACAAAGAGAATAAAACCATTGCATATAATAAAAAATTCATATAACTATAACAAATTCAATTTAAAATAATTAAAAATACATATTTTTGATATATTTATGAAATTAAAATTAATCGCAAGAAAAAAAGTATACTTCGTCAAAAGTATACTTTTTTGTTACATATAATTTTTTTTTTTAAATTTCATTCTCACATATATTAATGTATCGACAAAAAAAAGTACTGCTCATAATTTTATTAATGATTACATTAAAATCATGCACAATATTAGTTTTTTTTATTATTAAATTAATAAAATATAAAATACTTTTATTCTCAAAACAAGTATGTGAAACATTAATAGTTTTTTATAACAATTTAAAAAAAAAAAAAAAAAAATCATTAATTATTTAATAAATGATTTATAATTTTATTATATAATTTATTTTTTTTTAATTTCTGCCTCTATTAATATAATTGTATTGAGTACCTTTATAGTGGATAAACAAATTTATTAATATATTAAAATGAGATTTTGGTTCTCCAAAAAGAAAAATAGTTCTGAATGCATCAATAATAAAAAAAATAATGTAAGATCACTTTAATTTTTTCTTGTATTTTTGGAACAGTTCTATTAACCTTATGTTTTTTAATTTATTTTCTTCTAACAGGATGAAATATATAAAGCAGTTTTAAAAAATAGAGAAGCAATAGATGCTTTAGAAAAAAAGCAAGTACAAGTTGAAAAAAAAATTAAGGTAAAAATTTAAAAAGGAAATTTCTAAAGTCCTATACATTTCATTGTTAAGTTGCACACCATTTTTATTATTAATGGAAATATATCTTTAATTGAAAATTATTTCATTTTTTTTTTTTTATAAACGAAAAGGGTAATAAGATAAATGTTTAACGTATTTTATTCTCTTTTTAGCAAATGGAAATTGAAGCAAAACAAAAAGTTGATCAAAACCAAATGAACAATGCAAAAATATTATTAAAAAGAAAAAAATTATATGAGCAAGAGCTAGAGAATATTCTAAATAATAGATTAACATTAGAAGACAATATGATAAATTTAGAAAATATGCATTTACATAAAATTGCAGTAAATGCCTTATCATATTCAGCCAACACACATAAAAAATTTAATAATGAAATGTATGCTTAATATTAATTTAAAAATTATATAAATATACATATATATATGTATATATATATATTTAATAATTAGTTATGTATAATATAGCACAAATTAAAATATTAAATTATTAGATGATAAAAATATACATACATTTATATAAATAAATATAATAACAAAACAATAAAGCACAATATAATTATATATTAGTAATAATAAATTTAGAAAAAATTTTATTATTGATATTGCTTATAATTTTCATTATCTAAGATTTATAAAAATAATCACAGTGTTATATGTATTAATCTTTTTTAAGAATTATGTAAATTTTAAGATAATGCTAATATATATTTATTATTTTTATAAAATTTATAAATTATTTGTATTCTTTTTATTATTATAGTAATACACAAAAAGTAGAAAAGATCATTGATATTATACAAGAAAATAAGGACATTCAAGAAGAAGTTAATCAAGCTCTAAATTTTAATCTAATAAATAATGTTGACGATGTAATTTTTTTAAAATATATTTATAAATTTTTATGTGTTTTCATATATATAAATATATATATATATATATATATATATATATATATATATATATATATATATATATATATATATATACTTTTTTAAGCCTATATTATAAAACATTGATCTTTAATATACATAAAAATACATTTTTTTTTTTTTTAATTTCATAAAATATATCAAAATATTATAGCTAATTCATTTTATAAATATATTTTATATTTTATTAATTCAGGATGAAATAGACAAAGAATTAAATTTATTGAAAGAACAAAGCATGGAAGAAAAACTTAGTAATATTCATTTATTATTCTGTATTTTAATATAAATCATACATAAATATTTAATAATTCATTAATATGTATTTTTATATTCTAGGTGTTGAAGTTAATAAAATACCAGAAATTCCAAAAGGTAGAATCCCAATATTTTTTTTTATTTTTCTTTTTTTATAAATATATTCTCTTCACTCATATATTTATATATTTTTTAATTTTATTTAGATGAAGAAAAAGTAAATTTTACAAATATTGAGAAGGAAGTTTCAAAAGTTAAAGAAGAGGTATAAATAATTGAAACAATTATGTATATATATATGTGTTATATCACATATGGAAAATATTCTTTTTTGCATTATGTTGTTTTTAGTCTGACGACGAAGAATTAAAAGAACTAATTGGAGAAATGACTTAAAATATTTACTTACAGGAGAAAAATGAGGAACCCTTGTTAAAATTTTTATGAAATATATAAAACATACTTTTGAATTGAAAAAAGAATGTTGTAATTCACTTTTTTTACATTTCTATCATACTAATTTTTTTATGAATGAAAAAGTTATTCGTTAAAATTATTTTAATTCAAGTATTCTTTTTTTCTTTTTATCTTTATCCTATTATTAAGTAATAATAATATAATTGTGTTAAATTAATACAAACTTTTTTTTGTTTTGTTTAATCTTTTTCTTATGATAATTTAAAATTTTTTTTTTAAATTATAAGAAATACTTAGATATATACAAACTTATTTTACTTTATTTTAAAATATTCATTTATACAAATTCATAAAAAGAAGCATATATATTTTCTTATATTTATATTTAATAATCATAGAACAATGTTCTTTTTATTTCTTATAAATCATTATGGAAGTTCCTAATAAAAAAAAAAAAAAATCAGCAAATAAAAATTTATTGTTATATTATGAATTATATATTTGAAAATATTCTCATTAAAATTGAGATGAAAATACTTTTACGTTTTTCTTTTAATTTAGAAGCAATTTGTCAATACATATATTTTTTTTTTAAATTAGTTTTAAAATTATATATTTATATTGTAAAAAAATTTGAATATTAAAAAAAAATGAAATATATGTATAAGCACCTATGATTAAAAAAAAAGATTAAGGTAAATCACTATATGTATAATAAAAAAAAAAAAAAAAATTCAATATATCCTAGTTTCAATAAAGAATAATATTATAAATTTTTTTAGATTTTTTGGTTTTTTGTTTTGTGTAACAGTAAAGTAATGAGATAAATTAATTTTGAATACTTGTTATATTTGTCTATTACGAATAGTTTCTTCTATTTCATAAATTTGTTCTTCAATTTGTTTTTCCATTCCTCTGTATTCGTATTTTATTCTATTCATTATCTCAATGATATATACCAGTATATCTTTCAATAAAAATATTTCATTTTTTTTAAAATAATAATGCAAATTCTTTATATCATTATTATAATTTTCAAATAATTTTTTATATTTGTTTATAATGTTCTGTGTTTTGCAAATATATATAATCTTTTTTTCATCAGTTTTCTTATTATTCTTTTCGTAATCATTATTAATTTTAAATTCATTAATAATTTTATATAATAATATAAGGATGTTTTCATTTTCTTTAGTATTTTTTCCATAGTCTAATAACTTACTTGATTTATTACAATTTCTAATAAACTTTTCATTTCCAAAAGTTTCTATTTTGTCATTTTCAAATTTTTTTACGTCAAAACGTTTGTAATAATTACTGTTTAATGATGAATTTATATTGAAAATTTCATTTCTACTTTTTCTTTTTTCTATGGAGTTTTTTTTTGTCTTAGTTATATGTAACAACTTATTATTTCTAATATTTTTTATAAAATCATCTATAATTATATCAGATTCACTTGAATTTTTTTTATATAATATTTCTTTTATATTTTTCTTTTTATAATTCATCTCTAATATATTGCTGTTGTTTTGTTTCCTATTTTTTCCACAAGAATTTAGCATTATTACATCATTTCTCAATATTCTTTTATTATTATATACATTTTCTTTTATTTTGCTTAAAATTAAATTATTATTTTTGTCATTATTAAAAGATTCGAAATTATAATCTGGATAATTTTTTTCGTAAAAATGTTTAAAATTTTTTTTATTCTTTATTTTAAAATTTTTATTTAATTCGGACGTTTTAATTTCATTACAATTTTTATGTAATTTCCCTTCTAATAAATGAATTTCTTTATTTTTTTTATCTACAAAATCTTTATATGGAATAAAAATTGGACATTCAGAACTTTTTTTTTTATCATTTTTTGAAATTAATGGAAATTTACTTTCATTTTCCTTATCTATATTATGATCAATTGAATAATTATTTAAATTTATCTTTTTTCTTAATTCATTCATATTTTTTATGTAAGGTGTTTTTTCATTTTTTATCTTTCCTTTAAAACTATTATATAAATTACTTTTATTCTCTTCTGAGATGCAATTTATAAATTTATTTATTTCCATATTAAAAAATATATCGTGTTCTTCATATTTTTCTATTTCCCGTTTTATATTTAAAAAGCTTTCATTATTTTTACCTTTCAAAAATAAGGTACCATTTATGTTATGGTGATTGTTATTACTATCTAACACATTTTTATAGCATTTAAAGCAACTCTTCAAATATATGAAAAATTCTTTATAATGTTTACCACAAATCTTTTTTATAAGAGCCTCCAATATATTACATGCAATAATAACAACATTATTGTAATTTTTATTATTTGTAATATATTTAGCATCTTTTATTTTTAAAAATAAATTTTTTATTTCTATTTCATCTAAGTATTTTTGCTCATTTCTCGTTTTTCCCTCTAAAACGGGTATAACTTTTTCTATTACCATGTTTACTGGTTTATGAATTATTTTATTTTTAATAACATAAATCGGTTTATCTACATATTTATTTTTATATATAATTTTAGGAATTTCTATAGTTTTTTCTTTTGTTACAATCTTTGGTATATGTTTAATTTTTTCAACGTAAATTGTTTTTTTAACATAAAAATTTTTATAAATATAATTTTCGTGTAAATCAACATACTTTTTTTCAATATATTTAATGCAGGGAATATTTATATAAGAAGTTTTATAAAAATACTTTGGCTTTTCAACGAATTTTAATTGTTTAATTGGATCTAATATTAGAGGTTCTATATGCATCATAATATTTATTTATTTTAAAAGCTATAAAAATAAATTATCATTTGTTCTAATTAATTTTTCTAATTTTCGACTACGAATGGCAATTTTATTGAAAACCTTTTTTTTAAAGGATTTTATTTAATTTATTTTGTAATTTCATAAACATATAAAAAATTTATAATAAATTGAACATTTATTATGAAAAGAAAAAAATCATATAGGAAATTTATAGAATTAATCTAATGATATTAATTTCTTAGTAAAACAATAAAGCAATCATATAATTATATTTTTAATCACATTAAAGTTTAAAATTATTTTTTTAAGTATTATGGTGTTCCTAATATATAGCTATTAAAAAGTGTAAAAGTTTAGAATTTGCAAGTAATTTTCATAAAAAAAAAAAATTGAGAATTATTTACAATCCTTGTTACAAAAATATTAAAATTTTGATGAAGCTAATTTACTTAAATGTAAAAATAAAATAAAAATCACTATATATATTTTTTTTCTTTTTTTTAACGCTAACCAGTTAGTTACATAGGAATATGTAATTTTTTAAGAGCTGAATTATCACAATATTAATTTTAGTTGGTAATTTCATAAATGGTTGCCGTTTTTAGCAAACATCAATATAACATTATATAATTAAATATTTTTTTTTTGCTATATTTGTAAATTTTATATTGCGTGTTGAGAATTTAGAAAGTAATCATCGTTCTAAAGTAAAAAATATATATATGATAAAAAAGAGAGCTTTACATATAAAAAGTAAAACACAAAAATTTTCGAATGTAGCTAAATAAAAAAATTAAAATATTACAGAAAAGCATCTATTTAATTTTTCTGTTTTTTAAAAAATTATTAATGATATAATCACGTATATTTTTAAAAAAAATGAAAAAAATATAGCTTAAAAAAAATTCTTGGTTATTTTCCTTAAATAAAAGTTTTTCTCACACATTAGAGAATATTATTTTTGTAAATAATAAATATGAAAAAATACAAAAAATATCATTTATATATACAAAACTCAGGATATATTAGTGCACTATAATAATAAATATATTTATACCTTATTTTTTAATGAATCGTATTTAAATGTTACACATTTTTTTTTTTACACTTTATAATAAAAAATGTTTTTAAGGATAAGTTTATATTTACAATTAACACATTTTTAAAAAATTAAAAATGGAAAAAATTAATCTAAGAAAAATAAAAGAGCAAATATGTAAACTGAAGGGGGAATTATAAAAAGTTAAATGATGAAACATAAACATAAAAAAAAAAAATTTAAATGTAAGACATATTAACTAAAAAGCTATTTTAAAAGAAAAACATTAACGTCTTTTATTCATATAAAATGGAAACAGAATGAATGTTAAGGAAATAATCTAACATAATTGCAAGACTCTATATTATTTTATCTATTTTTGCATGCTTTAACCTTATACAGGAATAATTTTTATGAATTTTATAATTTTTTTTTTTTTAACAAAAAGCTAGATTCACATCATTTTTTTTTTTTTTTTTTTTAATATTATTACCATATTTAAAAAATCACATGTTAATTAAATTAATTAATATATAATTGGATAAATAAGTAATTTCATAAATAAAAATGTAATTAAATAAATAATTTAAATAAAGAGAGTATTTTTCATTCTTTTTGATATTTAATGTTTTATTTTTGTAATATAAATTTTTCTTATTTTATTTACTGATTTACTCTTTTTAAAATATTTTTATCATAGTAAAGCTTTTTTATGCTTGTCTTCTCTTTATAAACTAAAATAATTCATATATATTAAAATTAAAAATGGAAGATAATAAATGTGATAACTCCTATTCAACGAAAAATAAGGTTACCGAATTGTTAAAATCACCATATGTAAAATATGGAACTTCAGAAATTTTTTCTAATGCCTCTATGCATTTTGAAAAACCAACACGAGAAGAAAATAAAAAATACCACATTGAATACTTAAAGGTATAAATGTAATAAAAGTTGAAATTTAATTTATTTTATATTTTACAGTTGTTTTTAATATATAATTAATGTAGCAAATAAAAAATTAAGTTTAGTAATTTTTTTTTTTTTCTTTTTATCTCCTTAGGATGGAACAGCTATATACTATAAGCGAAAACCAGGATATATAAAAAACTTCTTTTGTTGCTATTAAGTAAATAATGTATTTTTTTTATTCTTTATTTTGATTTTTTATTTAAATACACATTAATACACTTTTTAATAATAAAAATTTGATGATTTTTTTTTTTTAATTTTATTTTTTTTCCCTTATTTTTAATGTTTTATTTTCATTATTTTTATTATTTTAATTTCTTATAAGTGTCTTTTAATTCTGATTTTTTTTTTATAATTTTATTTTTTTGATTTATATTTATAATTTTTCTTTTATTTAATGTTTTGTGTTTTATTTATTTATATTTCAAAAAATTGATGTTTAACTATAGAATATACTATAACGTTTTTTATTTTAAATATTTTAAACTTCTTTCTATGAATATATATAATTAATCTAGAATATTATTTTAAGGGTAGTCACAAATATCACTATAAAAAAAAAAAAAAAAAAAAGTTAAACAATTTGAGGTATTTTCATAAATGTTATTTTGTTTATTAAAATAAATATTTTAACTTATTTTGTTTATAATTCATACTGATAATATAAACGAAAGTTACAATTTGAAACATTAATTTTGTTATAAACATTAATTTATTATCTTATAATTAATTTTCCTAATATGATGATTATCGAATTCAGTAGTTTATTTTTTAGGTGTATTAATCTATAAAAAATATATTTTTTTATGAAAAACTCTACATTATTATGTATGTTTTAATATTTATATATATTTATATATATATATTAATTAATATAAATTTAATAAACAAAAAAAAAAAATTTATTCTTCATGATTTGAGTAGAATAAAAAAAAAAAACAAAATAATTAATAATACATGTAATATGATATTTTTAATTTAACAAAAAAAATAATAAATTATAAAATAAAATAAAAAAGGTAATGTTATATTGTATTTAAATATATATCCTTTTTAAATTTTGCATCTCTGTTAAATTTATAAGCTTATATTAAAGTATAACAATATAAAAAAAATGGATAATCCAACATTAAATGCTGTTATAAAACATAGAAAAATACCTAGTTTGATACTGCGTTTTTCCCTTTTTACATTCTGATGATCAAGTAAAATTAAAATGCTTATAAATGAAAAAATTTCAAACATATAAATAAAATATGGAAAATATTTTCTTTCTATTAACATGTCATATGGGTCTAGATCAACGTTTAAATTTTTTATAGACATCATTTTATTAAGTATATTTATTAAATAAATTTTTCTTCGTTTCTCCTTTGTTCTGAAGTATTTTAATATATACAATACATTAAAAGATAATAATGTTTTAAATTCTAAATACATAAATGAAAATTCATATTAAAGTTTAAAATTAATGCTATTCTTGAAAAATATAAAGAAAAACATTGCTATATTCTGATTTCAATTAAACTATTTTTCGTCTTCATTAGTTGAATTAATATCCAAATTTATTATGCATACTCTTTATGTAAATTATTATATTATATTAACTCTCGTATGATTAAAAAAAAATGGCATTTAATACAATTATTTAAAAAATTAAAATTCTTTTGAACTTACATATTATTCATATTTAGTAGTTATTCTTTTATATTTTTGAATTAAATATCTCATGTTATTTTTAATTAATTTTAGAATTTTTTAACTTTTTTTTGTGGAAAAAAAATATTTTATAAAAATATTTATAAAATTTAACATATATATTCTTTAAAATATCTCTCTAATCTTATTGATATTAATGCTTTTTCTCTTTTTATTGTTATTATAAACTATTTTTTAATTTTCTTGAGCTAAGAAATCCACTTTTTTACAGCTATAATTTTCATTTTACATTTTATAATTTAATAATAAAGAAAAAAAAATGAAGAAAAAATAACTAAAACTTTAAAATGGATTATGTCAAAATAAAAACTCACATTTAACTTAAAATTTTTTAAATTGTTATAAAAAAAAAATATATATATATATATTTATATATGTAAATTATAATAATAATAATAAAACAAAATATGTTTCAAAATAAAAAGTGAATGTTAATTTACTAAAATAATTTATGAAAATATTATAAACGAATTAAAAAGTATGATTATAAATATATATTAAGTTGTAACTTTATTTTTAATTTTATACTTTAAATGATGATATATATAAAATAAATTGCGATAAAATGAATAAGAAAAGAAGCATTGATCATCAACATGAAAATAGTGACATAAATAAAAAGAAATTAAATATTGATAATTATGGAAGAAAAGTATGGGATAAAGAATATTATCAAAAAAAAGTAGATGAAAAAGTCACTAATGAAGAAGATGAATTAATATTAAAATTATTGCCTGATTTAAAAAAACCGAAAGTTCCTCCTGTACTTTCAGAAAGAAAGTTATTAGAAGAAAGAAAAGAAAATTTGTCCTTAGAAAAGAACTTAGGAAAAGTTCAAATCTTAACTCAAAAAACCCCTAAAGAAGAACAGGGAGGATTTTATTGTAAAATATGTGAGTGCGTTATTAAAGATTCTCAAACATATTTAGACCATATTAATGGAAAAAACCATAATAGGATGTTAGGATATAGTATGAAAGTTAAAAGGGTTACGTTAGATGATGTTAAAAAAAAATTAAGCACTCTTAAAGATAAAAAAGATAACAAAACAAAAGAAATTGAAAAAGATGCATATGAAGAAGCAAAAAAAAGTATGAAAGAAATACAAGAAATGGAAGAAAGAAAAATACAAAAAAGAAAAGAAAAAAAATTGCAAAAAAAATTAGAAAAAAAGAAAAGAAAAGAAGAATTACTCTCAAAATTAGAAGAAGATACCATACATTCAGAAATTAAAGAATTAGGATTACCTACTTCATTTGTTTAAAATTATAAGTATATAAATATACATATATCTCTTTGAAAATAAAAATTCTAATTTATTTGAAATAATATAAATATAAAAATTAAAAAGTTTTACACAATTATTTAATTTATTTAAAAATGTACATTTTCTACTTTTCTTTTCTAAATATTTTTTAAGTGATTAATTCTTAAAATGCTTTTATTTTTAACAACATTATTAGCGGGCCACTATTTTTTGGTGTTTTAAAAATTATTAATATTGTAATTTTTTATAAATATAATATTTTTGTTTTAGAATGTTTTAGAAATACTAATGTGTAACTGAAAAAAATGTTTAATACATTAAAAAATTAATTAAAAGAAATATTTCATTTAAATGAAATACATAATAGAAAATTGTTTAAAAAAATTATATTTCCCATATTACTAAAAAAAAAAATATATATATAAAAATATAAATAACAGAATTATTTAAAAAAAAAGAAATATATTTGAAATATAATATGGAACAAGTTTATCACAAAAGTATATTTCATTTCAATTTATTTGATAAATTAATATGTAATGACATTACTTTCATATAAAAAGAAAAAAAAAATTAGAAAATTATTTAAATAAATTAAAAATTTTCTATTTATTATCCTCTTATGTATGTATGTATGTATCCATATATATTTAAAAGTGAAAGATAAAACTAATCTAATATAAAAAAAAAAAAAAAAAAAAAAAAAAAAAAAAAAAAAAAAAAAAAAAAAAAAAAATCGTAAAATAAAAAACAAACAATACCTTATGCAATTTTAATATAAATGTTTTATAATAATTAAAATTAATAAAACAAAAATTAAAGAAGTAAGAAAGGATATACATTTTTTGGCTTTTTTATCACTTTCTCTTTTTTGTAAAATTTTTAATTTATTTAATCCTTGTTCACTTTTATCCAATGTGATATCTATATTATAATCTATTTGATCTAATAATGAACCTTGATCAACTAACATAACAGATAATTCTTTAAAAATATTATGCAAATCAATTACAGTATCAGCTATTTTTTTTAAATCATTATTTCTTTTATTAATATTCACTGAAGTAACTTCGTTGGGTTTTTCATAAAATAGCTGTTCCTCTCCATCAAAGTTTTGATATGATTCAATTTGGTCATATTCATTTGACAACTTTCTAAATTCCTTTATATATATTTTTTGTTTTCTATGAAAAGTTTGAGATAATGATTGTAGTTGAGATGCAAGACTGTGTTTAGCATTTTTTTTCAATTTTTCAATTAAGTTATTTTTATCATCTTCATCATCATTCGAAATGCTTTGAATTTTTTTTTCGCAGTTTTTTATTAAAAATGTTATATCAGCTGACATATTAGTAATATTTTCAGTCAGCTTTTCATCTTTATTTAAAACATTCAAAAGCTTATTTTTTTGTAACTTTTGAAGGTCTAATAATTTACTTTTTATGTTATTTATATCCTCTGAACACTCTTCAATTTTTTCTATCCAATAGGGTGGTAACATTATTTGTTTTTGCATTTCAATGTCTTCATTTTGACGAAGTAAAATTTCTTTACCTGATTCTTCATCATCCAATTTTTCATATGTTGATAATTTAAATCTATTTTTTTTTTTCTTAATTTCCCTTCTATAATCAAAATAGATATTTGTTATATTTCTAAATATTATATCCATAGCCATTTCTTTTCTTTTCTTTTCTTTTCTTTTCGAATATATTTATATTTTTTTTTTTTTCAATTTTAAAAAATCATATCAACCTTTAATATTATATATTTTTATTTAAAATAACAATGTAAATTAAAATAAAAACATTCTTCAGTATTTTGTATAATTATAAGAAATATCTTAAGTATACTTATTTTTCTCTATTTTTTTTTAATTCTTTTTCATCATTTTTCTATAAAATTTATTTATTTTATTTAATATACTTTTTTTAATTTTTATGTTAACTTTTATAAATGTACTTAAATATTTACAATAATATTTTTCTTTAATTATAATTCATTTTTTACTTAATTATGTGGTTTTTTTTTTTTTTTTTTTTTTTTTTTTTTTTAAGAATTGTAGCATTTTAATTTCAAAATTTTCAATGAAATCGTTTTTTTTTATTTAGTAAAAGTCGCACACAAAGTAGGGGATATTTTTGTATATGATTATTTTCTTTTCTTTTTATTTCATGTTATTTTGCACACTTGTGCCATTTTATTACTTTAAAACAACTTATCATATATAAATAAACATTAAAATGATTTTCATTATAAAAATGAAGAGAAATATAAATGAATACAAAAAAATATGGAAAGAAATATATGAATATATATGAAATATTACTTATATTAAAATATTGAAGAAATTACATAATTTTAAATTACATTTTTTATTATATTCCATTAATTTTTAATTTTTTAAATAATTAATTAAACATGAAAAGAATAAATTTGAAATATATCGAAGTTATAAGTTATATATATAACTTCTGAGATTTTAATATATTTATTTCGATACGACTCAATTTTCATTACATCTAAATGCTAAAAATGCTTTCGCTTAAAAAAAAAAAAAAAAAAAAAAAGAGAATAAGTAATAAAACTCTCTATAATTGTCTTATTTTTTTTTTTTTTTTTTTTCTTTTATTTCTGCTATATTTAAAAAATTATTATAAGGATATTATATCAGTATTATATTTTAAGAAATTATATTTGATTTTAAATAGTTAATTTACTAAAAAAAAAAAAAAATTACATTTTTTTTTTTTTTTTTTTCACTATTTCATCTTTCTTTTTCTTGTAAAAAAATTACATAAAAAAAAAAAAGATAATTGTTATTGTAGCATACAACACCATTTATGCTTATAAATATTATTTGTAAAAATTATATTTCAATAAAATATTATTCAAATAGCTTGATTTATTAATATATATCTAGTAACTAAATATATATATTGCAATTATATATAAATATTCAATTAAAAAAAAAAAAAAAGTAAATTAATAATAAAAAAAAAACATAAGTTAAAAAATAAATATATATATTATAAATTTTTAGAATTCATAAAAAAAAAAAAAAAAAAAAATAAATTTCTTTTTAAAAAATAAATTTAAAACATTTTATAATTTTATTTTTTTAAGAGTAAATTTTGTAATATTTAAAAAAATAAAAACAGTTAATACAAGCAAATAATATTCATTCCTTTTAATAAAAAAAAAAAAAAAAAGAAAAAGAAAAAATGGACCTTTCATTATCAGCAGATGATAATATTGATGAAAAACAGAGAGCAGCTGTATTATATATATATATATATATATATACATATAAAATTAATACTAAATAAAATAAATATATAAATAAAATTATAACTATATATTTTATTAAGTGGATATATTATCTCAGATCACATTTATTTATATTTTTATTAAGATTATGTAATTCTTTTTTTTTTATAGGTTTTCTTAGGATTACAGGAAATGATACAAAAACAGAAAGAGAATGTGAAAGTTATGGATTTATGTTTTAATAAATGCGTAACTAAAATTGGACATAAATTAAGCACAAATGAACAAAAATGTATTTGGGATTGTGCTAACAGTTATTTTTATACAAATGTTTTCTTAAACCAGTTAGAAAATAATTTATAATAAAATAATATTTTTTTTTTTTTTTATAAAATAAGTTTTATATAAAGAATAATATAGAATATATTCAAATAATTTTTATATATTTAATTTTTTCCATTTTACGTATATATATGCATTCTTTTTTTTTTTTTTTTTTTTTTTTTTAGGCGCCTTCAGCAAATGACAAAACTTTTAAAATCAAATAGTGATAACATGAACTTATAAATTATCTTTTATAGTTTTTCTTTTTAGTTGTTTTCACTTTATTTTAATTTTTTTTTGTTGAGTAAAAAGAAAAAAATTAAAATAAAGACAACTGTAAATTTGTTAATAATTTCATTTTTATTTTTATTAAGTTACTAAAAGCTATAAGAAAATAAAAAAAATATTCCTATTTAAGTCAAATTTTTAATTATTAATTTTTTTAAATAAAATATATTTTTTTTTATTGTTTTTTATAAAATGTCTTTATTTCAATTAATATAAATTAAAAATAAGAAAAAGGAATCCTATTATGTATTAATTGACATAATAGAAATATATAGATAAAAAAAAAATATATTTTTAATTAAAAATGTTTATGAAGTATAATTAATATATATACACATTACTTATTTTTAACTATTATATTTTTAAATCTATAATGTTAAGTTTTTGTTTTACTTTTTTGTAAAAATGTGTAGTACTATTTATACAATTAGAAGAAAAAAAAGAAAATTCACAACCTTTTTTTTTTATGTAAAACAATATTTTTAAAAAAAAAAAAAAATGATGTAAAAAAATTTATAAATAGTATTAGAAAATAAATATATGTAAAAAGTACATGAATATGAATTATTTATTTATTTACATAATTTTACAAAAAATAGATCAATTATACGCACATGTTTAAAATTAAAATATATTTTTTTATTTTTTAAAATTATAAATTTTTAGTATTATTCATTATTACAATTTTTTTTAATACATAAAACCCTAAAAAAAGTTCTAAGTTTTACTTTTTATTATATTTTTTTTTTCTGAAATTTTTTTTTTATTTTTATTTGTTAATATTGTTTTATTTTATTTTTTTTTTTATGAAACAATTTTTAAAACTTTTCAGTCTTAGATACAGTAGATTTATATTAAAAAAAAAAAAATAAAATAAAATAAAAAAAAAAAACTACAAGATAGTATTAATTAAATATTAAAAAAATATTAAATTTATAATATTTGTAGTGTTAAAATTTTAAAATGAACGAGCATTATGATGTAATAAAATTTAAAAAAAAAAAAGAAAAAAATGTTTCCATTTATATGAATATAAAATAGTTTTAATTCATTATATTCTTTTTTTAAATATAGCATTTATCGACATTTTATAATTAAAAAAATTTTATACATATATATGTAAATGTTTTTTTTATTCTTATATATTAGGTAATTATTTTGGGTACAGGATTAAAAGAATGTATTTTAAGTGGACTTTTGTCTCATTATGGTAATAATTTTATGTATATAAAACTTATATAACTAGAAAAATAAATATATGACTCGTTATACTTCTTTTCATTTTTATGTATATTTATTTTAATTAAAGCTTATATAACTAATTAAATATTAAAACTTATATATATTTGTATAGGAAAAAAAATATTAGTACTTGATAGAAATCCATACTACGGTGGAGAAACGGCATCTTTAAATTTAACAAATTTATATAATACGTTTAAACCAGGTATATATATATATATATATTTAACACATAAACAAAATTTGAAATATTTTAAAATATGTGGATACTGTTAATTCATAATAATATTTATTAAAAAAATAATATATGAAAACATTTTATATTAATATTTATAATTTTCTAATAATTTTTTTTTTTTTTAGATGAAAAAATTCCAAGTAAATATGGAGAGAATAGACATTGGAATGTTGATTTAATACCCAAATTTATCTTAGTTGGTGGGAATCTAGTAAAAATATTAAAAAAAACAAGAGTAACAAATTATTTAGAATGGTTAGTTGTAGAGGGGTCTTATGTTTATCAACATCAAAAAAAAGGATTATTATATTCAGAAAAATTTATACATAAAGTTCCTGCTACAGATATGGAAGCCTTAGTATCACCATTATTATCTTTAATGGAAAAAAATAGATGCAAAAATTTTTATCAGTATGTAAGCGAGTGGGATTCAAATAATAAAAGTACATGGAAGAATTTAGATCCTTTTAAATTAACTATGATGGATATATATAAATATTTCAATTTATGCCAATTAACTATTGACTTTTTAGGCCATGCTGTGGCTCTTTATTTAAATGATGATTATTTAAAAGAACCTGCATATGTTACATTAGAAAGAATAAAATTATATATGCAATCTATTTCAGCATTTGGAAAATCTCCATTCATATATCCTTTATATGGTCTTGGAGGAATACCTGAGGGATTTTCTCGAATGTGTGCAATAAATGGTGGTACATTTATGCTTAATAAAAATGCTGTTGATTTTATTTTTAATGATAATAAGGTGTGTGGAATAAAATCAAGTGATGGGGAAGTTGCTTATTGTGACAAAGTAATTTGTGATCCTAGTTATGTTATGCATTTAGAAAATAAAATAAAAAAAATTGGTCAGGTAATACGATGCATTTGTATTTTAAGCAATCCTATACCAGAAACTAATCAAGCCAATAGCTGTCAAATTATAATACCACAAAATCAATTAAACAGAAAAAGTGACATTTATATTAATCTTGTTTCATTTCAACATGGAGTTACTCTTAAAGGAAAGTATATAGCAATAGTTTCAGCAACAGTTGAAACAGATAATCCATTAAAAGAAATAGAAAAACCACTGGAATTACTAGGATCTATTGAAGAAAAATTTGTTAAAATATCGGACATATATACATCTATAGATAAAAAACCAGAAGATAATATTTTTGTTACATCATCATATGATGCTACTTCCCATTTTGAAACAGCAACAAACGATCTTCTACAAATATGGGAAAATTTATGGGGGCAAAAATTAAATTTTGATGATCTAGCTACTAACGAAGAAAATGAAGGGGAACTTCAATAAATATAATAACTAATTTGAACAATTAAAATAAATAAAGAAATATAATAAGTTAAAATTAACATTAAAATGTAAATATAATTTATATCATAGTTTCTTAAAGAAATTAAAAAAATTATCAAATTATTTACATAAGATAATTCTTGTATTTTTTAAATTTTATTAAAAAAAAGTATAAAATCTTGTATTAAAAAAATAAATTTAATATGTTATTTATTTACAAATTTTTATATAACCCCAAAATATATAAACCATAAAGAAAAAAAAAAATTATAACCTAATAATGAACAAAACGTAAATTACTATTAGTGTTTAATATTTTTTTTTTTTTTTTTTTTTTTCCAAAAGGCATGATTTATAATATATCTTTTGATTTTTATTTTTTTAATAATACAAAACTTTAGTTACCGTTACGGGAAGCTGTTAAAAAAAAATATATATTTATTTAAAATAATATTTATATTATCATAATTTTTTTACAACTTTAGTAAAAACAAGAATAATGTTTTGAGACTTCGTTTAAAAATTATAAATAAAAGCAATATAAAAAGAAAATTAATATGCTTGAAAAAAATAGGACATATAAAATTTTAGCGGTTTAAAGGTTGAATTATATTTTATTCTTGTTATATTCTGAGATTTCAAAAATTATCCATTTTTTACAAATTCTTTTAATAAACTTACAGATTATTCATAAAAAATGATAAAAATTCAATATATTATTTTATTATTTTTTATTTTTTTTTTATAGATATTTAGAATAAAAACATTCCTCGAAATTTTTTATGAAAAAATTAAGTCAAAAACGCAAATCCACTTATAAGTTCTCATATAAAATTTACAAATAATTAATGAAAAAAAAAGCCTTCAATAATATATGTGGAAATAATTTTTCGTCTTTTAATTTTTTTTTTTTTCTTTTTAATTTTTATTAAATATAAATATTTTACAATATAACATTTAACGAAAATGAATTTTTAATTTAAAAGTTTTATATTCATCCCAAAAAGTTTAAAAATAAATAAAAAATATATATATAAATCTTACAAAGATGAAAAAAAAAAAAAAAAAAAAAAAGAAAAAAGGTGATATAAAATTGTTCTATAATGTTTCAGTATTCTATTTTATTATTTTTTTTAATGTAATTTTCTCTTTATAAAAAAATTATATTTCTTTTCTTTTAGTCTTGTATAGTTACTGTTTATTCTAATGATACACTATTATTATTATTTTTTTTAATTTAAAATTGATTATTCATTCTATTTTGTTTTTGTTGATTGGCATTAATCATTGGGTTGTGTACTTTCATATTGCTAATATTAATCCCTAATGATTTAATCATTCGTACAGTATCAGGTTCAACATAAATTACATTCACATCAATTTGTGATTTTTCAGGAACAAAGTCTAAACGTCTTTCTCTTTCTTCTTCTTGTAATTTTAAACTAATACCTCTAACAGGTCCCTTCTGAATTCTTTTCATTAAATGAGTAACAAATCCAGCAACTTTATTTTTCATTCTTTTTGATGGTATTATAGCAACTTCCTCTGTTATCTTTTTATTTATTTGAAAATCAAGAGTTAGTTTTGCATAATATTTTTCTACAATCTGCCTAGCAGCTCTCTTTACTGTTTTCGTTCTTACTCTTCCCTAAAAAAAGAAAAAATAAAATAAATATATAAAGGAAATTCTTTTTTTAATTAATAAATAAAAATTTTTTTTTTTTTTTTTTTTTTTTTTTTTTTTATTAAACAATCTTTCTTTTTCACTTTTTTTCATTCATTTTTAATTCTTTTTCTTTTATATTCTTTTTTATTGAATCTTTTAATTATAAAAACAATATATATTAAAAGATTTTGTTATTATTTTTAGCTTACCATTTTTTCAAAACCTTAATAATGTAAATTTAATTTTTTCTATATTTTATGCATATATATATATATATATTAAAAAAAAAAAGTTATCCTTTTTAAAATTTAATTTTTTATAACATATCTTTATTTTATTAAAAATTTTTCTTTTGGAATATTATGAAAAAATTTTAATTTAATTTATTTTAATTTTTTTTTTTTTTTTTGTATTTTTTCTTTTTAGTAACACTTCAGTAAATTATTTATATATAAATAAATATATATATAAACTTATAGCAATTTTTTTTTTTTTTTTTTTATAATACGCACTTAATTAT